GGGTAATTTTATGTCACAAAAAATGGTTCAATGAAGACTGGGGTAAAAAATGAATTTGCAATCACATGACCCCTACCATGTGCGAAATGTTATAAATGTATGTCGAAAAAAATAAAATCGATTGAATTTTAAAGATACGTATACGGTGTCTAAGATATACCCATCAGTAGCTGTATATTATTTGACCTTTGTTAATTTTTGAAAGTTTTAAATCAAATTATATTGGGTAAAAACAACAACACGTATTCTTTGAGTGCTGACTAAGCGTCAGTATAGTTAATGTTTCGGACATAATATCGCTAACTTATGACACTTTCAATTGAAAATCAACCATATAATAAAATAAGAGACACAAAGTTTCTTTAGGTCTGCAGTTTAGTACATACATTAACTTGGTTGGTTGGTTTGTTGTTTAACGCCGTAATTGGTCGCGGAAATCCCTGGATGCGTGGCATCGTTCGGCAGATGACTACAGAGAGTTTCAAGGGTTTCTGTCCTGTCTCACACCGAAGCAACTTTTTCACACGTGGCATCTCCTCAGATAAGTGATTTTGTTCGAATTATTAATTCTCTTGAAAAACAAATTTTTCACATCATATTACAACATCAAAAAGGGAAACAAAACTCCCACAGGAATTTAAAAGCATCTTCAATGTTGTACACATGTGGTATCGCCTCAGATAAGTGAAATTGTTCGAAATATTAATTCTCTTGAAAAAAATTCTTTCACATCATATTACAACATCAAAAAGGGAAACAAAACTCCCACAGGAATTTAAAAGCATCTTCAATGTTGTACACATGTGGTATCGCCTCAGATAAGTGAAATTGTTCGAAATATTAATTCTCTTGAAAAAAATTCTTTCACATCATATCACAACATCAAAAAGGGAAACAAAACTCCCACAGGAATTTAAAAGCATCTTCAATGTTGTATAACAGGGTATAGTGATAATAAATGTATATCCGAACACGAATTCATTATACAAACTCGTAAAACCCCAAGAACAATCTCGTGCTTACTACGCACATAGATAACGATAGGTCTGCTCCCTGGTGCTAAGTCCTTGTTCAGTGGAAACAGCTTGTGTATTGTCTTGGGGAATATCAATTGTCAGGAAACAATATTTATCGGGTAAACATATGTGACTATATCAGCAATATCAAAACACCGCTGATGGTATCATATTTGGTTAACTATTATACATAAACAAAACCTTGGCTATGGTATTATAAAGGAAAATGCCAGTGCACTATTAAATTGATTCTTCATGCGAAAAGATAAAACGTTTCACGTGTGTTGATAAATGCAAGTACATATGGTTAGATAAAAAGTTAATATATGATATTATGTTATTTCGGTGTGGGAATAATATCATGTGTAGTCGACGCTTTTGGGCCAAAATGAGTTCTTGCAAGGAGTAAAAAAAAATCTATTTAATTCAATTTCCATAATACCCTGTTTGTAAAGAATAACCATGTTGGTAAAAAATACATTTCATTTCGAAGAACATAGTAATTTCTATGGTCAGTGTCACGCTCGCGATTTTGAGACAACAAGGAAGTAATTATGAGTCGGTGTGTTAAGTATATATTGGATTTGTAACGTTTATGTAATTCTTTTATGACTGACAAAATTTAGTTTTTTAGAGCATGTATTCGACGAAGAAGGAAGGTTTCTTAAGTTTGCTAATGTAACACAATATTTGTACATTTTACCTGTCAATTAATTTTTCTTAGAATTGTGTAAGTAAACTTAAAATACCAGTGAAAATCATTATCTGTATTGTTTATGTCATTTGTTATTTCCTTGGGTTTTTTTCAAATTGTATTCAGTAGCTGTCTACAGGGATCGCAAAATGACCAAGAAACGAGACTTTACTAACGTGTAGTAAAACGTGGACAATTGTGAGAAGATTTTGTTGAAGATTGACAGCAATCCATAGTAAATTGTACTTATCTACAAAAGGCCACTTAAGCCTAATTTTCAAAAACTTACTAACTGGTTAGTAAAGTCTACTAACATGTTCGTGTTCGTGTTGGAATGGACACTAACTAGTAAACTTCACTAACTAGTTCGGTCAGTGTGGTACGGTTGGACAGGTCTCACAATGGTACTTCAGATAAACCCACCATCGCACGTGAAAGCCCAAACGACGATATTAAGAATACAATTTTGCTTTATCTGAAAAGAAGTTGCTTGTTTTCATAATAAACATTTTGATTGTCCAATGCGATGATACCATGCGTTTGATTCTTTGTTTGTTGTTTAACGCCGCATTCAGCAATGTTCCAGAAAATTGGCGGCAAACTTGACCAGACAATTATATAGAATAAAATGACATGCATCAACCAAGTCAGCAAGCCTGACCACCCGATCCCGTTAGTCGCCTCTTGCGACAAGCATGGGTTGCTGAAGATCAATTCTAACCCGGATCTTCACAGTTCTGATGCTATGCGACACAACTCCTTGACGTTAAAAAAATCTGACCTTTTCGTTTCCATTTAAGACAATCAGGTAGTGTTTGTTACAAAAACACCAGTACGATTGATGCAATATTCTTTGCTGAAAGATGATTTTACTTAGTTTTGTGGGATAGAAAACTTGAATTATAAGATTAACGAACAGTGTATAAATAATATACTGGTTTGTGTAACATATAGAACAATATAAGCTAAACAATACCCGTGAAGATCCGCGGTAGAATAGGACTTCAGCTACCCATGCTTGTCGTAAAAGGCGACTATGCTTGTCGTATGAGGCGACTAACGGGATCGAGTGGTCAGGCTCGCTGTCATCGTATCCAAAGTGCGTGGATAGATACTCATGATGTCAATCACTGGATTGCCTGGTCCAGACTCGATTATTTACAGACCGCCGTCATATAGCTGGAATGTCCGTGAGTTTACCAAACTGGTACACGTCTAAAAAGCCCCGTAAAGCCCCGAGTTTAGAGTAGGTCTTCAGTTTCCCATGCCATGCTTGTCGTAAGAGGCGACTAACGAGATCGGGTTGTCAGACTTTCTGATTTGGTTGATGCCTGTCATCGCATAGATTGGTGTTCATGATGTCAATCAATGGATTGTGTGGTCCAGACTCTTTTAGTTACAGACCGCCGTGATATAGTTGAAATATCGCTATTTTCGACGTTAAACAGCAAAACAAACAAACAAAAAACGTCTAATACCTGCATCATTCAGACATTTCTCCCACATCAAAGTGACACTCCTATTTAACTTTTAATTAAATTCAGTTTAGCTTTAAACCCAACTAACAACTCTGACAAGCGATCTGTGATAGAAATGTATCGTATTAAAATAAGATTGTTTAGGGTTTTTTAACGCAACTTTTATGAATCAGGAATGTATCAGTAAATTATCAGATTGTAATTAGACTGGTTTCTGCAATAAACCCGTAAATGTTGCGTGCGCTGTGATCAATTGGAGAGGTCGTTTTGCAAACCTTTATTTTACCAAACAGCACTAAAAAGAAGGCCAGTTCCACAAATCTAGTTATGTAAATATCAAGCACTGGGTTTCAAATTGGTTCTTATAGAATATTGTTAGAAAACAAATTATATTTTTATACCTTGCATATTTTCCATATATTTAAATTTACTGAAATGAAAAGGTTAAAGGCGCAACTGTTATTTCTGTTTATTTGCACAAATATCGTGCCAACACCAGGGTAATTCTGAAATATGTTATATCAGTATGAAAACCTTAGCGTTTTGCAAGATTTGCGACCACTGCAGTGATCCGAACACACTCCAGCCTAACGACATTCACTGTTGTTGTTACTTTAGTTGACGATTTACAGTGCATTTACAGTACAAAAATAGTAGCCTATAATTCCGACTACAATTTCTGTTAATTGACATTTTGGGGGTTTAAAACACGTCAGCAAATAATTTAGTTATGTTTCTTATATACGTCAACATGTTCAGTAGGCTTGACAAAATGTGTGTGTGTGTATGTGCTTGCGTGTGAGTGTGTACGTTAGAGTGCGTATGTGTGTGCGAGTGTCTGTATGCGTGCTTGTATGTGAGTGTGTGTATGCGTGTCTGTGCCTGTGTGTGAGTATGCGTGTCTGTGTCTCTGTGTGAGTGTGTGTATGCGTGTATGTGTGTGTCTGTGCGTGACTTTGCGCGCGCGCGCGCGCGTGCGTGCGTGCGTGCGTGCGTGCGTGCGTGCGTGCGTGTGTGTGTGTGTGAGTGTGTGTATGCGTGTATGTGCGTGACTGTGCGTGTGTGCGTGTGTGTGTGTGTGTGTGTGTATGCGTGTATGTGCGTGACTGTGCGTGTGTGTGTGCGTGCGTGCGTGCGTGTGTGTGTGTGTGTGTGTGAGTGTGTGTATGCGTGTATGTGCGTGACTGTGCGTGTGTGTGTGCGTGCGTGTGTGTGTGTGTGTGTGTGTGTGTGAGTGTGTGTATGCGTGTATGTGCGTGACTGTGCGTGTGTGTGTGTGTGTGCGTGCGTGTGTGTGTGTGTGTGTGAGTGAGTGTGTGTATGCGTGTATGTGCGTGACTGTGCGTGTGTGTGTGTGTGTGTGTGTGCGTGTGTGTGTGTGTGTGAGTGTGTGTATGCGTGTATGTGCGTGACTGTGCGTGTGTGTGTGTGTGTGTGTGTGTGTGTGTGTGTGTGTGTGTGTGTGTGTGTGTGTGTGTGTGTGTGTGTGTGTGTGTGTGTGTGTGTGTGTGTGTGTGTGTGCGCGCAGCCCTGAAACACAGCGATGACAGGCCTTCCAATATTTAAGAAGATGTGAAACAAGATAAAACGTGAATGGTCGTCGTTTCCCTCCTATTTCTTAATCGGCTTATCATGGACATGTCGCCAGAACCCGAAACAGATATAATTATGCGTCACATATTTGACTGTTCATGAACACATTCGACAAATAAAATACTAAGCAAATCGGCAAATCTTAAATTGAAGGCGTGGAGAATAATTAGAGAGATGAAATGTGTAAAGCGTGTCACGTAAATGACCCGAAGTACTCACAGAAACAATCCCGTTTGCTTGAATACGACACAGATGAATCACGAGCGGTGTCACCCTTCGTTGTCGCTCCCAGCGTATGCTATAGCTACTTCCCTACATAAACGTAAATGCTCAAATGAATGCGAGAAGCCGGTGAATATGTGGGACATAACTATTAATAAAGCAGGCCCAAAACAGGTAAATGTTTCTCGGTCATCGGAGCGTCAATTTAAATGTTGAGCGTCAGTTATTTGTATTGCCACCAAAAAAATAAAATCAAATATCCCCATTATATAAAACAGACTGTTGCTTGACAACTGACAGGGTATTATGTTTGTTTGTTTGTTTGTTGTTTAACGCCGCACTCAGCAATATTCCAACTACATGACGGCGGTCTGTAAATAATCCAGTCTGGACCAGGCAATCAAGTGATTGGTGAGGTGAGGTGAGGTGAAATGGGGTTTAACGTCGCGTCCAAGTTTATTGCACTTATATAGCCACGTGCATGGAAGTATATGTGTGTGTGTGTGTGTGTGTGTGTGTGTGTGTGTGTGTGTGTGTGTGTGTGTGAGGCTGCTTGTACTAGTCCGGACTGATGCCGATGTATAGTGCTAGCTCACTGAGATACCATGCCGCAGTTTAACATGAATACCCCACTCAGACACAGTATACTGACTCCGAGCCGACCAGTCCTTGTTTCAGCCCTTAAATGCCGAGCGCCAGACAGGGTAACAACAAGTACCATCTTTTAACGTCTTTTGGTATGACGCGGCTGGGGATCGAACAATCAAGTGATTGACATCATGAACATCGATACACGATTGGGATCGATGACATGCATAGTCGCCTTTTACAGCAAGCATGGGTTGTCGAAGACCTATTCTACCCCGGATCTTCATGGGTCACATTGTATTAAAGAGCCGAGTTCATGTGTGGCCACGTGTATTTGTTGGAATAGTTGCTGCGGAAAATTGAAAGGTGTCCTTCTGTCATTAGAAATGTGTTCAACAAATAAATAAAAAAATAGCCTAACCGTTTGAGAACATGTGCCCTAGAAACAGTTAATTAGGTAGCATCAGTAGTGCAATCTTTTGAAGCCGCCACCTTATTTATATAACTTGGTAGAAATCACGCGATGTGTGACAGATGCTTATAATTCAAAGCTAAATGACAATCAGGGCTTTGTCCCGGCGTGGAGCAGATTTAATCGAGTCACTCAGGTAAATTGTTTATGGTTCGAAATGGCTTGAATATAACAAAAAAACATTCAACGAAATGGATAGTGTTCGTTGGCATAATTATGATTTTTCTATAACATAATTGTGCTGAATAGGATATTCCCCACAACTGGTAATAAATCACATCCATGTGAAATAAACGATTTAGGTTTTTTTCTTTATCACAGCAATTAATGAATAACATATACAGATCTAACGCTGAGCAAGTCTTCGTATCGTTGTACATGTATGGCTCACAGTAGGTCAACCCCTGGGGAATTCAAGGTGAGGTGAGGTGAGGTGAGGTGAGGTGAGGTGGGGTGGGGTTTAACGTCGCGTTCAAGATTACTGGACTTACATAGTGAGGTGCATGCCCGTGTGTGTGTGTGTGTGTGTGTGTGTGTGTGTGTGTGTGTGTGTGTGTGTGTGTGTGTGTGTGTGTGTGTGTGTGTGTGTGTGTGCTTGTACTAGTCCTGACTAATGCCGTTCTAGCCCACTGAGATACCATGCCGCAGTTGGAGTTTTAGCTCCTGAATGCCGAGCGCCAGGCAGGGTAACAACACGTACCATCTGTTAACGTCTTTTAGCACCACACGAATGGACAGTATTTCCCAAATTTATGCAGGTTGGGAAATAAACGTGTCGTCCATTTGACCAACGTTTGAAATGTATGCATCTTCTGGCCGCCAAATTAATTTTTTTAAAGAAGGTCATGAACGAAAACGTGAACAGTAACGGTAAATACTTTCATAGATGACAAATGTTGTGTTATGCTATGACAAGGTTAGATTTATCCTGTTTCCTACGCTCCCAATTATTTGATCATTGGTAAATATGATAATAAAATCATTAAATATTTTCCATTTTGAACGAGGAAAACAAAGACTAAAACAAAACTAGGACTAAAAAGTTACTGTCGGAAATGCTCCAAAATTGCGTTTTGTCCGTTAAAACAAGAAATAATGCTTTACAGACTGTTCCTATTGAAGTATCATGTAACTACCGATCTACCTACCTGTGGTTTGTAGTAATTAACTCACAAGGAGTCCTATCGACAATTTTACAGGAGAAAAATTCAAACGAAATCAGCCGGTTCAGATTTAGTCCAATGATTATTTTTGATTGACTATTTGCTGTTTAACGCCGCACTCAGCAATATTCCAGCTATATGACGGCGGTCTGTAAATAATCGAGTCTGGACCAGACAATCCAGTGATTGACATCATGAGCATCGATCCGCGCAATTGGGATCGATGACATGCATCAACCAAGTCAGCGAGCCTGACCACCCGATCCCGTTAGTCGCCTTTTACGACAAGCATAGTCGCCTTTTACGGCAAGCATGGGTTGCTGAAGACCTATTCTACCCCGAATCTTCACTGGTTGTAGGGGGCACGGGTGGCTCAGTCGTCTAAGGCGCCGCGATTCGCTGTGCAGAGTTGCGTTCTTAGGCACGCCAGATGATTGTGGGTTCGAATCCCGGTTCGCCCCGATTATGTTTCTAGGTTTGTCAGCACCATACCCGTGCTCGTGGGTTTCACCGAAGTGGTAAACGTCTGAGGCCTGCGCCACTTCGGGCTTTTCTCCCACATTAAGCTGACACGCCGTGATGTAACTGGAATACTGTGAAAAGCGGTGTTAAACCCAACTCACTCACTCACTCACTCACTCACTCACGGGTTGTAAGTCCAATGAGGGAAGTCTGAAACGGACTATAGAATTATGCACATGGGACTCCGTAATAATAATAATAATATAATGATAATAATAATAAAAATAATAATAATAAAAGTTATTATTAATGAAACATCTGATCCACATAAAAGTCAATTAGAGAACATGCTAGCTGAGCATATAAGAAAATAACAAAATGAAGCACCGTTTGTTTTGTCAACACTGCTCCCATGATGCATGTTGTATTATACGAGCAAAGCCATAGCCATGGTACACGGCATGGAGTCTGCAGTAGGAGATGTTTACAAGGTCTTTACGCTTGAGAGAGATAGCGGGAAACCATCTATTAGCCGAACTGCCTAAACACTGGGGCTTCCATACCAACAATGGAACGGTATCATAAATTTTACAATGAAGGTAGGGGTCGTCTCAAAAACAAAAACCGGTAGGTAAAAGGATATTCGACAACTTTTGTGCAGGGGTGATAAGGCGTACAATGTAAAAGCTTTATGATCAGGAGGTTCCTCTGACATGTAGTAGAATTCGGGTGGAAATAGACTAACATTTAGTCTCTGAAATCTTATATTACACAATATCCTTCTTGACTCTAAAAATTTTTTTAAAAATCCCTATGCCGATTTGTGGAATAGAGCTAGCTTGAGCTTGCTAGACTTGCTTTTGTATGCGTTTCTAGATTTATTTATTTTTCATAAAATAAATATATTCCACGGCAATGGTGCAGGACTAGGGTGGAAACTAAGACACAAATTATGTTTCCCGGACTACATTAATTATTGCTCTCAACGAGAACTGTTTTCAGTACACTTCACGTAGGTTTTCAGAGACAAATATTCCCTCCTGTCTATGAGGTCACAGTATCTCCGGACCCGTGAAGATCCGGGCTAGAATGGGTCTTCAGCAACCCATGCTTGCCGTAAAAGGTGACTATGCTTGTCGTAAAAGGCGACTAACGGGATGGGGTGGTCAGGCTCGCTGACTTGGTTGATGCATGTCATCGATCCCAATTGCGTGGATCGATGCTCATGAAATTAATCACTGGATTGTCTGGTCCAGACTCGATTATTTACAGACCGCCGTCATATAGCTGGAATATTGCTGAGTGCGGCGTTAAACAACAAACCAACCAACCAACCACAGTATCTCCGCACCATTCATGACCATCACAGTCAGGGCTTCCACACCATTACATTTGATGAAACTGGGTGAATAAGAATCATTCCACTGACTACATGTGGCTACGGTCAGATGGACGAGAAGCATCCATAGTACTCTCAGGTGAAGGTAATCGTGTCATTGGTTTGAAGTTGGAACCTGTCTGAAGGCATCCATGCATGAATATCTGACATTTTGCAACGTCGACATCCATCCGATACGAAAGTGCCCTCATGGAGAAAATTCGCCTGAATAACAAACCAGTGAACAAGACAGACGTCCTAGGGGCACAACACGGTTAGCTGAGTCAAATACTCAGATCCACTCTTTAGCAAGAAATATTTCTTGATACTAAGGTGAAATTGGGTTTAACGTCGCGTCCAAGATTATTGCACTTATATAGCGACGTGTATGCACGTGTATGTGGGTGTGTGGCTGCTTGTACTAGTCCGGACTGATGCCGATTTATAGTGCTAGCTCACTGAGATACCATGCCGCAGTTTAACATGAATACCCCACTCAGACACAGTATACTGATTCCGAGCCGACCAGTCCTTGTTTTAGCCCCTTGATGCCGAGCGCCAGACAGGGTAACAACAAGTACCATCTTTTAACGTCTTTTGGTATGACGCGGTCGGGGATCGAACACCGAACCTTCCGCTCTCCGGGCGGACGCTTCTTGATACTAAAAGACCCGTGAAGATCCGGGTTAGAATAGGTCTTCAGCAACCCATGCCTACCGTAAACGGCGGCTACGCCTGTCGCGACTTACGGGATCTGGTGGTCAGGGTCGCTGGCTTGGTTGATGCATGTCATCGTATTCCAATTGCGTGGATGGATGCTCATGATATCAATCACTGGATTGGCTGGTCCATACTCGATTATTTACATAGCTGGAATATTGTTGAGTGCGGCTTTAAACAACAAACAAACAAACAAACTTGACACTAACATCCCAACCTTCCAAAACTCATGCCGTTTTATAGCTTTCATTTGGCATTATATATAATTATGTTAATTGCTACCCCAGTAACGCCTATTTCTACAAAGTACAATAACAGCAATATATTGGGACCAGCCCCAGCTCAGGAGACATTTCCACCGAGAGAATGCAGGGGCTAGTGTTAGGTCATCACCTCGAGACATGTTTCGTGATGCCTCAGGCGATAGGCCTTTTCTTGAATGCATGGCTACACACGAATCATTTTAGCTGTAAAAGTGCCTTTTTATGGTATGGTTTGTTGTTTAACGCACTTTGCTACATAAGATCAGTCTGACATACAACAACAATGCTAATAGTTTTAACAACAAAGAACCCGTGAAGATCCGGGGTAGAATAGGTCTTCAGCAACCCATGCTTGCTGTAAAAGGCGACTTTGCTTGTGGTAAAAGGCGACTAACGGGATCGGGTGGTCAGGCTCGCTGACTTGGTTGATGCATGTCATCGATCCCAATTGCGTGGATCGATGTTTATGATATCAATCACTGGGTTGTCTGGTCCAGATTCGATTATTTATAGACCGCCGTCATATAGCTGGAATATTGCTGAGTGCGGCGTTAAACAACAAACAAACAAACTTTATCAACAAAGCATTTAATCAGTTTTATCACATACACTCGACGGTGTTAAGAGATCATGGCGTTCACCCAGTATTAATATTCTTCTAATTCTGTACAATATTGACTTTGCAAATGTATATTCAGGGCATCTGCACGATATTTCGTCTTGTGATCGACGCAACCATCATACCGTAGTAACTTGGGTGGTGGTTGACAAGGAGATCCGGTTGCCATGACAACAGACCTCCTGCAGAGAACACCCCGTGCATCATCACAAGGCCTGTGTACCCACACGAGAGAGCACTGTCCACCAAATGCGAGGCAGTGACCAGTAGCGCCTGCTCGTCCAGTGACCCCGCCCACTCACCTACAGCCTGGAAGGATAAAGTAGTCAGTCAACTCCGGTTATTGCAAATAGTCGGTTATAACGAATGTAATGCCTTATCCATAGGTACTTAGTGGTTCTTTTTCATCTGAATAACGAACTTCGGATTGTACGAACTGATCTATTATTTGTTTGTTTGTTGTTTAACGCCGCACTCAGCAATATTCCAGCTATATGATGGCGGTCTGTAAATAATCTAGACTGGACCAGACAATCCAGTGACTGATATCATGAGCATCGATCCACGATTGGGATCGATGACATGCATAGTCTCCGGTGGGACAAACGAACGTAAGCTCTACCAATGTGCTGACGGGGATTGTTTTTGTTGTTGTTTGTTTGGTTGTTTTTAACGCCGCACTCAGCTATATTACAACTATATGACGGCGGTCTGTAAATAATCGAGTCTGGACCAGACAATCCAGTGATTGACATATTGTGGATCGAACCAAGTCAGCGAGTCTGACCATCCCGTCCCGTTAGTCGCTTCTTACGACAAGCATAGTCGTCTCTTAAGGCAAGCATGGGTTGCTGAAGACCTACTCTACCCCGGATCTTCACGGGTGATGACACCATGTAAACCACTGGTCAGGGCAGCGTTAAACCAAACCCACCTTCTGACGTTTGTTTGTTTGTTGTTTGTTTGTCTGTATGTTGTTGAACACTACGTTCAGCAATATTTCAGCTAAATGACGGCAGCCTGTACATAACAGAGCGATGATCTTCGCCATCAACCAAGTCACCGAGCCTGACCACCTGTTCCTCGCATCGGTTGGTTGGTTTGTTGTTTGTTTGTTTGTTTGTTTGTTTGTTTGTTTAACGCCGCACTCAGCAATATTCCAGCTATATGACGGCGGTCTGTAAATAATCGAGTCTGGACCAGACAATCCAGTGATTGACACCATGGGCATCGATCCACGTAATTAGGATACGATGACATGCATCAACCAAGTCAGCGAGCCTGACCACCCGATCCCGTTAGTCGCCTTTTACGACAAGCATAGTCGCCATTTACGGCAAGCCTGGGTTGCTGAAGATCTATTCTACCCCGGATCTTCACGGGTCTCGGACTGACGTATCGAGTGGAGGCATCATTTCGGAAAATTCAAAGATGCCTTACCATATCAAAAGGCTCCGACGTATTGGAGTAGCCGTAGGGTCCATCAGGCAGGTGCGTGTGAGCGAGGTCAGCACTGATGATCATCACTACTCGTTCTGGTAGCCCTTCCAGGTACGCGTATAGGTCGGAACCTGCACAGACGTGAACACTACATGTACATATACCTTACACTAAACAATCACACAATCATCTAGTCCTCTGTAGAAAAAATATCTGATGCCTTATCAATTAAACTGTCTACATATGATTTCAAACATTTCATTAACTTAACGGTTAACGGGTGATACCATTTTAAAACATTCCAATCCACGTCTGATGTTTCGTTGTTTTTGTTTTTTAACGCCGCAATATTCCAGCTATATGACGGCGGTCTGTAAATAATCAAAACAAAAAACTCTGAACGAACAGGCGTATAGTCGACGAAGTCATCTATAACCCCCCCCCCCCCCCCCCAACACACACACACACACAATTTAACACGTCATGGCCCATATCAAAATAGCTGCAATGGAAATTCTAAAATAAACATTTCTAAAACTCCTTAATATGAAATATCACACAACAAAAACTTCTAAAAGTGCTAAATATTAAAAGGAACCAGTTCAGTATGTGCCTGGTAGATATGCAAAGTTATGTAAGTAATTAAAGAAAGTATTTAACGGTTTTTGAGTTACGCTCCGGAAACGAACACACCCTTATAGAACCTAAGTTCAACTTGTTGCCATGGAAACGTAAATAACAAGTATTTGTCACAAAGTGACGAAATGTCCCCCGCCTGTATATACACCATAGTACCAAATATGAAGACAATCCAGCGATAAGTTCTTGAGATATCGCGGCAACACCGTTTTCCAACTCCAAAAGCAGATTTACCTGCTGTGACCTTGAAAATGGGGTCAAGGTCACCAAACCCGACTGGTGTCTGCGGTGTCTGTATATACACCATAGTTCCAAAAATTAAAACAATCCAGTGTTTAGTTCTTGAGATATCGCGGCAACACCGTTTTCCAACTCCAAAAGCAGATTTGCCTGCTGTGACCTTGAAAATGGGGTCAAGGTCACCAAAACCGACTGGTGTCTGTGGTGTCTGTATATACACCATAGTTCCAAATATGAAGACAATCCTGCGATTAGTTCTTGAGATATCGCGGCAACACCGTTTTCCAACTCCAAAAGCAGATTTGCCTGCTGTGACCTTGAAAATGGGGTCAAGGTCACCAACACCGACTGGTGTCTGCGGAGTCTGTATATACACCATAGTTCCAAATATGAAGACAATCCAGTGTTTAGTTCTTGAGATATCGCGGCAACACCGTTTTCCAACTCCAAAAGCAGATTTACCTGCTTTGACCTTCAAAATGAGGTCAAGGTCACCAAAACCGACTGGTGTCTGCGGAGTCTGTATATACACCATAGTTCCAAATATGAAGACAATCCAGTGTTTAGTTCTTGAGATATCGCGGCAACAAACAGGTGGGACGTACGGACGGACGGACGTACGTACGGACGGTCGTGAATACTATATCCCCCGCTTCGCGCTTTCGCGCGGCGGGGGACAATAAAAAATATATAAAATTCCTAAAAAGCTAAAGCCACCAGTTCAGTATGTGTTTTGTAAACATGCAAAGTTTTGTAAGAAAGTATTTAACGGGTTTTGAGTTACGCTCCGGAAACGAACAGCACCCTTATAGACCCTAAGTCCAACTTGTTGCCATGGAAACGTAAAAATAATTGTTTCTAAAATTCTTAAATAGCAAAAGGCACCGGTTCAGCATGAGTCTGATAGACATGCAAAGTTTCGTAGAGAAATCTTTAACGGTTTATGAGTTATGCTCCGGAAACGATTTCGGGACGCACGCACACACGCACGGACGGATGGAACGATACACTCAGGTGAGGTTGCTCACATTAAAGGAGTACGTTATAACGATGTTTGACTGTACTGTGTATTGACCTACTTTCAGGAGTTCGGGGATCATGGTGACCTGATCCGTGTAGCGGCGACTGGGCTGTGACAGGATGACCACCCGGGATCTAGACAGGGCGGGGCCACCCACGAAGTGAAGGGGGATCACCTCTCCCCATCTGAAATGTACAGCGTGTTCAACATTCATATATATATTCCATCATATAAGCTTTTCGAAATAAGTTTCTCATGTTATATCTGCCCCTTAATTTGTTCTTGGTCCTTATGTTACAAAAATTAATTGAACACTGTTTGGAAATGACTTTTTCAAAATCATACTTCGTTTTTGCACGAGATTATAACTTTTTGGACACGCTATGGACGCTATGTTATTCGTAGTGTTTCAGGTTTGCAGCACCCAGTCGTGGACGCGGATCGACTCTTATAATTTTATAGAATATGTTTTTACGCCGCTTTTAGCAATATTTCAGCAATATCACGGCGGGGGACACCGGAAAATGGGCTTCACACATTGTACCCATTTGGGGAATTGAACCCGGGTCTCCGACGTGACGAGCCAACGCTTTAACCACTAGGCTACCCCTGTTTTAGTTTAAAGAGTGAGAGGCGTGGCTATAGAGATCAAGTTGAACATTTGAGTAAAGTTTACTTCCTTGATTTGGAACCTCATACACTAGAATATCACCTCCCTCCTCCCTCACCAGACAGTTGTTAAAAACAAACTATAGAAACAGTAATAGTCACCTCAGGGTGAATTTTCAAATGTTGAAAACAGTATTTCACATAAAGGGTCCTGTCAACCACTGTTTGTGTCATTAGTGTGGGCTGTACAGAGTTGCGTCCCTTAGATGTGCCAGGAACCTATGACCCTGGGTTCGAATCCCGGTTCGCCCCGAGTTTCCCCATAGTGGTAAACGCCTGAGACCTGCATCATTATTTGGGCTGTAATCCCACATCAAGCTGACATGCCGTGATACAACACTAACAGTGAGTGAGTTGGGTTTAACGCTGCTTTTAACATTATTCTAGTTATATCACGGCGTGTCAGCTTAATGTGGGAGGAAAGCCCGAAGTGATGCAGGTCTCAGACGTTTACCACTTCGGTGAAACCCACGAGCACGGGTATGGTGCTGACAAACCTGAAACATAATCGGGGCGAACCGGGATTCCAACCCACAATCATAGGTTTCTGGCGTGCCCAAGGGACGCAACTCTGCACAGCGAATCGCGGCGCCTTAGACAACTGAACCACCCGTGCCCCCCTATAACACTACCGGGGCGGTCGGGTAGCCTTGTGGTTAAAGCGTTCGCTCGTCACGCCGAAGACCCGGGTTCGATTCCCAACATGGGTCGATGTGTGAAGCCCATTTCTGGTGTCCCCCGCCGTGATATTGCTGGAGTATTGTTAACAGCGGCGTAAAACCATACTCACTCACTCACTCACTCACTCACTCACTATATCACTACCTCTGTATATGGCTGTATGTAGTTTCCTCTACTCTATCCCAACAGCGTGATTAGGAAAATAAACATCTTCTTCAACACATCATTAAAGAGTCGCGATCTCCATTACACAGTCGGAGAGAAGAGGTTATATTTTCCAAACTTCGTCTCGAACATTGTGGTCTTGGCGCATGTGTCAATATTCTCATTAAGGACATTCCCGCAAACTGCTCAGTCAGTAATAAGCTTGAACGTGTGGCTCATTATTTACTGTATTTGGCCACAACATGTCCACCACCGTACGGTAATGGCGGCATCTCTTGACGTTCACCTCTCCAGCTCATTCCATAGGTCAGTCAGTCTGAACGGGTCATGGACACAAAAGGAAGATTCGTGGAAGCGCCTTTAAAATGCTTTTTGTGCGCATCTTCATATTGACTATGATCTGCAAGGGGGAAAGTCTCAGGGTTCTGATTATATCAAAAATATGTAATGGATCTTCAGTAAAAGATACAGTTTGTACAAAAGCCATGATAAAACAGTGCTGAAAATGTTTAAATGTGTCCTGGTTCCCTTGCCATTTGTGGCTAGGTTGACTGATTTGGTTTAATGGTAGAGCGTCCGTCCCCGGTCGAGGTAAGGTGAAATTGTGTTTAACGTCGCGTCCAACCAAGATTATTGCACTTATATACACGTGTGTGGGGGGGAGGGGGGGTGGGGGGGATGGGGGTGGGGGTGGGGGGTGGTGCTTGTACTAGTCGGGACTGATGCCGATTTAAAGTGCTAGCCCATTGAGATACCTTGCCGCAGTTTAACATGAATATCCCACTCAGACACAGTATACTGACTCCGAGCCGACCAGTCCTTGTTTTAGCCCCTTAACGCCAAGCGCCAGACAGGGTAACAACAAGTATCATCTTTTAACTTCTTTTGGTATGACGCGGCCGGGGATCGAACCCCGGACCTGCCGTTCTCCGGGCGGACGCTCTACCTCTAGACCACGGAGGCGGATGTCCCCGGTTCGGACCCCGGGCGCGTCATACTAAAAGACCCCCAAAGATGATACTTGTTGTTACCCTGTCTGGCGCTCGGTATTACAGGCTAAAACAAGGACTGGTCGGCTCGGAGTCAGAATAAAGTGTCTGAGTGGGGTATTCATATTAAACTGCAGCATGGTATCTCAGTCTCACTATAAAATAGGCATTAGTCCGGACTTGTCCAAGCACACACACACACACACACACACACACCCACACACACTATAGGACAGCGGTCTGAAAATAATCGTTGCTCACAATTTTCTGGTCCAGACTCGATTATTTAAAGGTCACAGTGGTTGATGCATGGCACTGTATCCCAATAGCGTAGATCGATGCTCATTATGTCAATCACTGGATTGTCTGATTCAGACGCGATTATTTTCAGACCGCTGTCCTATAGCTGCCATACTGCTAGATGTGGTGTTGAACAACAAACCAACCTGTTGACACTGATTGTATTAGTGTACGCAAAGGTCACCCACCCCCTGATCAATAATCGAACCCACACTGTCTATTGTTTTTTACAATTGTTTGTTGTCTAACGCTGCACTCAGCAATATTCAAGCTATATGGCGACGGTCTGTAAATAATCGAGTCTGGACTAGACAATCCAGTGATTGATATCATGAGCATCGATCCACGCAATTTGGATCGATGACAAGCATAAACCAAGTCAGCGAGCCTGACCCCCGATCCCGTTAGTAGCCTCTTACGACCAGCAAAATCGCCTTTTACGGGAAGCATGGGTTGCTGAAGACCTATTCTACGAAAGATCTTCACGGGCCCGGAGTTAGACAAACAAGCACACAAACAAACAGACAGACACTGTTTACCTGAGCGGAAAGGGTTCGCTGCTTTGACCTGGTGGTCCGTAGCCAGATATCCCTGACACATTTCTGTCATATCCAAACTTCGCTGCAAGCTGCTGTGACACATTGACATCCATCCCCACCGACACATTGTAACAACACGGGGGACACTGACAGTTGTCTGTATCAGCCCCTCCCTGCGCCTCGGGATTCAAATAAAATACAAAATTTCGCAAATCGGAAATCCCGTGAGGTGTACTCAAGAATATGAGATCCGGCGAGATCTCGTCTATCTGCTGCCCCACTGCCACACACGCCTTGTGTATTTCCCATGCCTCTGCTCTCGATGTCGTGTTCGTTGTGTTGAAGTGGGAAGGGTCAAGGGCGATTCCTCCATGTGGCATAACGTACCCTGCAAGGAGCTTGCATGTTACTTGGAAACCACCACCCATGACAATAACAAAGAGCGTCAATAAATTGATACATTTGCTGTAACGGATTCGCAATCTTGTGATCGTCATTGTTGTTGTTGAGGGATAGTTATTTAGAGTTACCTCCCTTTGATCGGTTTATTACAAGCTCCTTCCCAGCGCGTGACACCTTCGTTACACTCTCGGTAACATCGTTGCCACCAGAATGGGCCCGGCCATTACGAGAATCTTGAATTTTGTCTTCTAACCCCAAATGTAGGAACGTTTATACTCTTTTTTATGTCTTTGTGAATGCCATCATATTTCTTTTTGAAAAGGTCGACGACTGACCATGTTTTCCAGATGAATTTACTTTGTTGTTTTAATAATCAGATTGGTTCGAGATTTCAGACTAACGGAAAATCAACCAACTTCACCCTTACATTCTTACTATATCAATTAAAGATGATAGTTTTATGAAATAAAAATTCAAATTGACAAACAAAGAAAGTAATTTAGCAGCTATAAGTGTATTCGGCGTCACGATAGTCGTCACTTGTTTGTAAACATAACGGTCATTCGGTTGCGAGTTCAACTCCAAGCATGGTTGGGGCCACCTATCACAGTGGGGAGTTTTGTCTGGTGGCAGCGATAGTATAGAGAGCTCCGCGAACGGACTATCGCTGTGAGGAGCTTGGGTTTATTATAAAGTTGATCAACTATAGCGAATTACAGTACTTAAGTACATGTTTACGCTTGTCGTTTTTTTCCGATTTTTGTTTTTTCATTTCAAATGTTTTTGCTTCTGTTTTCATCCATTGCTATTTAATGTAGTTCTAAAGTAGGTTACAGTATGAAAACCAGACAGTTTTTCCCAGGTAAATCGTCCGACTTAAACTAATCAGGCCACGGACGAATTCTGCGTCTGGTGTAATGTCTCTGCCTACATGTATAAACACGTTCCATGGGGAAATCGTGTGACAGGCAAGATTCCCAGGCTGCAGTGTAATATTGTACATGTATATTGGGTATGAACAATATAATTGTGTTATTTTCAGTTGTATTTTTACATTTCAACGGAAAGTGGATACAAGTATATACCCTTCAAACTCCTTGTTTTCAACCACGGCTTTTAATAGCAAAGTGTTTGATTGACATATTTCATAACAAAATACATTTGCAGTTAACTCGGATCGTCATGTAAAATATAGTTGACATCGATCAATTCGATTCCTTAATACTGTATACAGTATATGGTCAATCAGGAATTACAATATGATACTGGGTATCACCCCGTTATGAGTGAGTGAGTACGGTTTTACGCCGCTTTTAGCAATATTCCAGCAACATCACGGCGGGAGACTCCAGAAATGGGCTTCACACATTGTACCCATGTTGGGAATCGAACCCGGGTCTTCGGCGTGACGAGCGAACGCTTTAACCGCTAGGCTACCCGACCGCCCCTCACCCCGCAATGAGCTCCCCATCCACATCTACTAGCATTGTCTTTCACATATGTCCTTTGTTGGTTGATGTGAACAATCTTTACTTCGGGATATTTAAGTTGACAGTTGCCTTGCTGGTCCTCGCTGTGCAGAGTTGCGTCCCTTGGGCACGCCAGAAACCTGTGATCGTGGGTTAGAATTCCGGTTCTCCCCCATTGTGTTTCTTGGTTTGTCAGCACCATGTCCGTGTACGTTGGTTTCATGTAATGTAATTGGAATTGTGTTCAACGCGGCGTTAAGCCCAACTCACTCACTCACTCACTCACTCACTCACTCACTCACTCACTCAAAAAGGCTGAAGTCGTCAACCTCATTATCGGTTAAAGCGTTCGCTCGTCACGCCGAGACCAGGGATCGATTCCCGACATGGGTACAATATGTGAAGCCCATTTCTGGTGTCCCCCGCCGTGATGTTGCTGAAATGTTGCTAAAAGCGGCGTAAAACCAAACACACTCACTCATTATCTGATCTGTGAAATAAAGCCAGGCTGTAAACACAAAACGCCAACGTCAACGTCAACGTCAACGCGAGAGAAACACCAGTCTCGAATATTCGACGAAACAGACTTAATTGGACGCAAAAGGCAAAATAGCAGTGAAAATTGTAGGAATGGAGCAACGCTAATTTTGTCTTTCGTCTGCTGTGTAGAACAGGAATATGCTTCAAGTGTTCACAAGTATATACATGAGATTTTTTATGAAGACCACATATATATTTCAGCCTCAGCTGCAAAATCACATATGTTTGTATTTGAAACCATTAGCCCAAAAAAATAAATATCAATCAACAATGTATTGTTTGTGACAGACAATTTCTTTATTTTCCAACTGTCTTAAGAATTAGTTGATTTTCAAGCATTTTACCTCGACAATACTGATTGTTTTAAATACTCACACGAACCACACATGGTCTGCCTGGCGTAACATGACCAAACACTACCTATCAACTAATATACACTACCTGGGACCACCAATACCTCAATTCATGATTGTTGACTGGTTTCTGAATGGTAGTTTCGACCCTCAATGGCGCCCCGTGAAGATCCGGGATGGAATAGGTCCACTGTTGGCTGAAAGACTGTGGTCAGCGGTAAATAATATTATGATAAAATATGTTTGACAAATTTGATTTTTAAATAAACTTTGCATTCATTACTCAATTGAATATTTATCAACTTGTACTCGTCGCTATATGGCTGAAATAACGCGGGGGGCACGGGTGGCCCAGTCGTCTAAAGCGCCGCGATTCGCTGTGCAGAGTTGCGTCCCTTGGGCACGCCAGGAACCTATGATTGTGGGTTCGAATCCCGGTTCGCCCCGATTATGTTTCTAGGTTTGTCAGCACCATACCCGTGCTCGTGGGTTTCACCGAAGTGGTAAACGTCTGAGACCTGCATCACTTCGGGCTTTCCTCCCACATTAAGCTGACACGCCGCGATATAACTGGAATACTGTTAAAAGCGGCGTAAAACCCAACTCACTCACTCACTCACTCACTCACTGAAATAATGCCGATGCGACGTTAAATATCAACTCACTCACTCACTCTCAACTTCACACCAGGAACTTCAAACAACTTGGTGTTGGTCTGATCTGTAATCTGTGTTCCAGAAATATACCAGGATAACAAACTACACATGCTGTTGAAAAGCAATTACGTTCTACATAAATCGCAATACTCAAAGACAAGATAACAGTACAGGTGTTACTGACAAGACAGCGTTTTAAAAAATATACAAAACGTGTAAACAAACTTGTTCGTAAAGGAGTGAACAGAATGGTATTTACGTGAATATAAGTATACAATTGGGAAAAATATGTCTTTCTGACCACTCAGGTCATATTATTTCTTATAAAAAGGGTTTTGTCTGAAAATATTTACGTGTATGTGACATGGGTGCATAATCAAAATTCGTCGTCATTCGCTTGGTGTTCAAACATGGCAGAAAAAGGCCGAGAAGAGCGGTAGACACTTTACTAATATCGCCATATTTCGCAATCCGTAGCATCGTATAAAGTATGAGTTACACAATGTTAAAGCTAAGATGATTGGGGTGATGATGGTTATAATTTTGACTTTGTGCACTCGGTGTTTTATATCTTCATTCACGGTTTAAAAAGGGCATTTACTCGGGACCATATATGGTCCCTTGGCACTATGCGGGTGTGAATAGTGAGGGACCATATATGGTCCCTTGGCACTATGCGGGTGTGAAAAGTGAGGGACCATATATGGTCTCTTGGCACTATGCGGGTGTGAAAAGTGAGGGACCATATATGGTCTCTTGGAACTATGCGGGTGTGAAAAGTGAGGGACCATATATGGTCCCTTGGCACTATGCGGGTGTGAAAAGTGAGGGACCATATATGGTCCCGTGGCACCAAGAGGGTTAAATAAGCTGAGTAGAATTACACTAGTTTTATATCAATCCATTGTGCAATATAATTAATTTACCCAGACAGAAAAATACTTTAATGGAAGTTTACAATCATACAGTAACTTATATTTCTGAGGTTTTGTCTTTCCTGGAATCACATTTGTGCAGTTCAAGAGGCAATACTATTGTGGTGATCAGTTATGTCAAAATTGGTTACTTATAAAACAATTATCACATTTTATATCTGTTAATTCATTTGTTAAAAAAATATTTCAGCGATGGTTGGAAATTACAATTATGTTCGCTGTGCAGAGTTGCCTCCCTTAGGCATCCCAGAAATATGTGATCGTGGGTTCGAATCCCGATCCGCCCCGATTTTGATCATAAGTTTGTCAGCAGCATCCCCGTGCTCGTTTCACCAAAGTGTTAAACGTCTGAGGCCTGCACCACTTCGAGCCTTCCTCCCTCATCAAGGTGAGATGAGGTGAGGTGAAATGGGGTTTAACGTCGCGTCCAAGATTATTGCACTTATATAGCGACGTGCATGCACGTGTATGTTTTGCGCGTGGCTGCTTGTACGACTGATGCCGATTTATAGTGCTAGCACACTGAGATACCATGCCACAGTTTAACATGAATACCCCACTCAGACACAGTATACTGACTCTGAGCCGACCAGTCCTTGTTTTAGCCCCTTAATGCCGAGCGCAAGACGGGGTAACAACAAGTACCATCTTTTAACGTCTTTTGGTATGACGCGGCTGGGGATCGAGTCCCGGACCTTCCGCTCTCCGGGCGGACACTTTACCATTAGACCACGGAGGCGGTTCCCTCATCAAGCTGACACGCCATGATAAAACTGGAATGCTGTTTAAAGAGACATAAAACACAACTCACTCATGATAAGCCTGTCAGGAAATATAACAATATCATCTTAGGCAACTGTTTTGCAATTACTCCTTGTATCTTTTCACGTAGGTTTGGTGGTCCATAATGTTTGTATTTGTGTTCAATTGATCGATAGGGTAAAATATAAATATGATATATATAAATACATATAATTTCTTTATTTCTTTATGATTGGACCCGTGTAGAATATGTCTACAGCAACCCATGCCTGTCGTAAAAGGTGACTATGCTTGTCGTGAGAGACGACTAACGGGATCGGGTGGTCAGACTCGCTGACTTGTTGATGCATGTCATCGTATCCAAATTCCTTAGATCGATGCTCATGATATCAATCAGTCTGGTCCAGACTCGATTATTTACAGACTGCCGCCATACAGCAGAGATATTGCTGAGCGCGGCGTCAAACAAGAAGCAATTATGATTTTATACTCCTTTCCACGCCGACCAACCTCATTATTGAATGATACAAAAAGAAATTGTTCCAGAATAAAATGTATAAAATATTCACTGGAAATGCCTGAAAGAAATCTGACGTCAACCCCAACCAAGCCGATATCATCCACCCCCAATATTAAATTGAGGAGACCCCAATATAAACAACTCCGAAAAGGGAAAACGAGGGCCCTCTCAGTTATAATCAAATATGACATCTTCCGCTGTTTATCCGAAAAACAAGTAATTGAGAATAGAACGGCAAAATATAATTGCGTTGTCATTCGGCAATGTACATGTACATTTACCCTGGTATATATTTACAACGCCATGTTTGCAGTTTAAAAAAAGCAAGGTAAATTTACCCTGTGTTTATTCACGTCACACTAGACAAACGCGATAAGGAAAGTCAACCGGTTTTTCTCTGTCGGGTGACGTGACATACATTTATAGTTACAGTCAAGTTGCCCGGATGTACTTCCAGAGGGCGCTTCAATTGAGCTGGGACTCGCTTAAGGTCAGTATTGCTCGTGTAGTTAGTGGTAGTGTTCGCGAATACGTCATTGTTGCACTGATTCAGCTTGTTACACGAACGTAGCCATCTTTCACTTATTTTTTTACGTTCGCGTGTTTTACACAGCAGATAATATGACCCTTCACTGCGGACCTGACAGTGAGTGAACATTATACATAATCCAGTTACAAACCAGGAAGAAGATAGTTTGAAGAAGTCCCCCCTCCCCCCTCCCTTTTATAAATAACTCAGCTGACTGAAATAGTTGTGGCAACATAGAGACATTCATAAAAATACCAAAGACACGACTTACTTGTATTTTTAAGCCGGTTGTTTGTTTGTTTGTTTAACGCCCCACTCAGCAAATTCCAGCTGTATGACGGCGGTCTGTAAATAATCGAATCTGGACCAGACACGAGCATCGATCCACGCAATTGGGGCATGATCACATGAATCAAATCAAGTCAGAGAGCCTGACCACCCGATCCCGTTAGTCGCCACTTTCAACAAGCAAAGTCGCCTTTTACGGCAAGCATGGGTTGCTGATGAGCTATTCTACCCCGGATCTTCACAGGTCACGGTGAACCCATTGTATGTCGCAATGTGTGTAACATATTTGTTGCTTGATTCATAACAACCGTTACTGCAATAGGGCAATGGAGGTACAGGATTAACACAGTCCTTGACCCCTGGAAGGGTAAATTTCAAACATTGAATTTATTTGTCAAAATGATATCATTAAGGACCGACCATTTATTACAGGGTGTGGGTGGCTCAGAGTATTTCATGAACGTAATGACCCTCCGGATCCACTAATGCTTGTCATAAGTTTAGATGACCCTCAGAATGTCCCTTAAGTTTTTTTCAGGGCCCTCCCCGAATAGACAGAATGCAAAAGCACTTATATAGTCTATATATTATATTATTAAAAATCCATTTCCCCATGACCCTCCGGGGCGGTCGGGTAGCCTATTCCTATTCTACCCGGGAACTTCACGGGCCGGATGATCTGTGAGCCTAATTACATTTAGATTAAGGGCGATCGGGTAGCCTAGTGGTTAAAGCGTTCGCTCGTCACGCCGAAGACCCGGGTTCGATTCCCGACATGGGTACAATGTGTGAAGCCCATTTATGGTGTCCCCCGCCGCGATACTGCTGGAAAATTGCTAAAAGCGGCGTAAAACCATACTCACTCACTCACTCACTCCATGACCCTCCCCTAATTAGTTATTCTTTATGACCCTCCCCTAGAGACCGTCATATTTCATTTATTTTTGGTCACACAAAAACACGTCCACGCACGCTCCTACACGCACACCTCCATATAAGAAATGACAGGTCCCTTATTAAGCAACAGTATCCTCGACAACACAAATCACATGGTTACATTGTCCTATGAAACCAAAGGTTTCTGCCTTTCTGTCGCGTAAAAAGATTTCATTTCTTATACTAATGACCCGTGAAGATCCGGGGTAGAATAGGTCTTCAGCCACCCGTGCGATTATGCTTGTCGTAGGAGGCTAACTAACGGGATCGGGTGGTCAGACTCGCTGACTTGGTTGATGCATGTCATCGTGTCCCAATTGCGTACCAGTGATAAATTTACAAGTACACGGACGTCGGACAATGGAAATTTTAAAACCGACCACGTATGGCAGTCTTTTGAGTGTGCTCCTTCGGTTTAGTTCATAGAGTTCACACAACCTGTGCCACATGCTTATCAGTGACTCCTCGTGTGTGACAAACAGATGACAGCGCCATATGGGTTCACGTTTTTGTTTTAATAAATGCTTTGTCACATCTGAACATAATATATCTCCAGCAGCCTTGTCTGTCATAAGAGCCAACGGATGATGGTCGGATGATTACACTGTCAGTGTGTACGGGTAGCCCTTGTTGTCTAAAGCGTCGCCTCCTTTGGTCACGCCCGAAACCGATGATTGTGGGTTCGAATCCCCGTTCGTACCGATTGTTTCTTGGTTTGTCAGCACCATGCCCGTGCTCGTGGGTTTCACCGAAGTGGTAAACGTCTGAGACCTGCATCACTTGGGGCTTTCCTCCCAAATTAAGCTAACACGCCGTGATATAACTGGAATACTGTTCAAAGCGGCGACAAACCCAACTCACTCACTCACTAACTCACAATGAGAAAGTGAGTTAGGTTCAATGCCGATTTAAACATTACTTCAGCTTGATCACGGCCGGTCCTCGGTGGTCTGTTACCTTACCCACAGGTATAGCGCTGAAAAAAACGACACTTTATCACGCAAAAAATAGGATCCGAAACAATAATCGCAGGTATTCTGACACACTTGAGGGGGACACAAACGCATATATTTAAGAGGCAAAATTCACATTTGTAAAGGAATGCTCTCCTACGTGTTGTGTCGGGTATTGTATTATATATATATATATCGTCTCATCGGGACACACCCCGACGGCATGGGTTGTTTGGATATCAGTCACTGGATTGTCTGGTCCAGACTAGTTTATTCACATACCTTAAAGCTGGAATATTGCTGAGTGCGGCGTTAGACAACAAACAATAATTGTTATATCCTGTCTTACCTCATTAACACAAACATCGTGCTCTTATAGCAGTCCTCCGCTTGTCTCGAACAGCGGCATGTATTCTATTGTGTCAAGTGTTCGAGTTGACAAGGGGTTTCTTAGACTGACACTTAATCCTAGAAAGAACGTTATCTTATCAAAGAAAATATATCAGTTATTATCTAAAATATGAAAAATAAAAAATCTAAATTCCAAGTCACAGAACAGTATGTATTCAAAGAGCTGAGGCAATCTAGACATGCCAGCTTGAATTTCGATTCCATTTTAAAATTGATTCTCTTGGGGCTGGAAGACCGACCAGGAATTTCTGTGTGTAAGAAATAATATTATGTGATATATTGATACAAGTACATCGTGATTAGAAACAAGGATGTGTGTACAGATATGTATTACATATGTGCTCTTCGTGACACGGCATCGTATTTACAATATGTTTGTGACGGATCGTGTTGCGATCATGGCAAGTGGTTTAACTTCCCTCCTTACTTTCCCACTCGACACTCCCTCTTAAAGGCATTGTTGACGCCAGATGAACAGACTCGCCAACATCGACTGCTTTCTGTGTTCGACGTGTAATATGTACTTCTAAAGTTCGGGGGCACGGTCGGCCCAGTCGTCTGAGGCGCCGCGATTCGCTGTGCGGAGTTGCGTCCCTTGGGCACGCCAGAAACCTATGATTATGGGTTCGAATCCCGGTTCGCCCCGATTATGTTTCTAGGTTTGTCAGCACCATATTCCTGCTCGTCGGTTTCACCGAAGTGGTAAACGTCTGAGACCTGCATGATTTCGGGCTTTCCTCCCATATTAAGCTGACACGCCGTGATATAACTGGAATACTGTTAAAAGCGGCGTTAAACCCAACTAACTCACTCACTTCTAAAGTTAAGGGTCATCCGATTTTCTTATCAATTTTCTGTGATGTGCGCTACACATGACACTGCGTTAGCCTTACAGCAGTCGCGGCCTTGTTCTAAACGTTGAACATTTTTATACCTTAGGGATCAGTTCATACGTTCAGAAAGTGTTAAACATATCTCTGACATCGGCCCTAAAACCCGAATTGTGAACACGATAATTGGTGAAGGACTTGGTCTACACCAACCCATACTTGTCGTTAAAGGCGACTAACGGGATCGGGTGCTCAGCCCTAGCTGAAGGACTTGGTCTACACCAACCCCTACTTGTCGTTAAAGGCGACTAACGGGATCGGTTGCTCAGCACTAGCTGAAGGACTCGGTCTACACCAACCCTTACTTGTCGTTAAAGGCGACTAACGGGATCGGGTGCTCAGCCTTAGCTGAAGGACTTGGTCTACACCAGCCTATACTTGTCATTAAAGGCGACTAACGGGATCGGTTGCTCAGCACTAGCTGAAGGACTCGGTCTACACCAACCCTTACTTGTCGTTAAAGGCGACTAACGGGATCGGTTGCTCAGCACTAGCTGAAGGACTCGGTCTACACCAACCCCTACTTGTCGTTAAAGGCGACTAACGGGATCGGGTGCTCAGCCTTAGCTGAAGGACTTGGTCTACACCAACCCCTACTTGTCTTTAAAGGCGACTAACGGGATCGGGTGCTCAGCCTTAGCTGAAGGACTTGGTCTACACCAACCCATACTTGTCGTTAAAGGCGACTAACGGGATCGGGTGCTCAGCCTTAGCTGAAGGACTTGGTCTACACCAACCCCTACTTGTCTTTAAAGGCGACTAACGGGATCGGTTGCTCAGCACTAGCTGAAGGACTCGGTCTACACCAACCCCTACTTGTCGTTAAAGGCGACTAACGGGATCGGGTGCTCAGCCTTAGCTGAAGGACTTGGTCTACACCAGCCTATACTTGTCATTAAAGGCGACAAACGGGATCGGGTGCTCAGCCCTGCTGACTTAAAGCATGTCATCGTATATCAATCCCAATTGCATAGATCGGTGCTCCTGATGTCAACCACTGGATTTCTGGTCCAGACGTCGAAACTGAAATAGGGTATCCCTTCTCTACACCGCTGCTGTGCAATCAATAAGGCGGGAAAGTAAATTTGCTGTTTACTAACTTTTTGCCGCTGTTTAAAATTAAGTTAGTAGACTTCATTTTATTTCTTTTCTCAATATTGCTGGCGGACCTATTCTAACCCCGAATCCCCACTAGCAGGGAGTTCTTGAATATAAATGAAGCGACAAAACCCTTTCCATATCCAATAGAAATCTCTGCATAAAGCTGAGTCGATTGTACGATTCCGACTATATCACAAGCATGTGCATGAATCAATATCAAATAGTAATGATACCAGGTGTTTGCGAAAAGGTGAGCGTATCCTGCATCACCGGTAGCACACGTCACAAACACATGCATAGGCAAGGTAATTGTTCACCTGAAAAAAACCCGGAACATATAGTACAATTCAAAATAGGGAATTGCATCGGACATCATTTTTGTCACTGATGCGACATATTTGGAAATGTCCTCAACATGTCTACCATCAAACTTTTTGAAAGTTTTACTAAGACCTTGAATGTTGTAGCCTTGATCAAACAACGTCTGAGCAAGAATCATACGACGCTTTTTGAAATCTTGGTAGAAAGAGCATGCTCGATTGTATCTCAAAAGTTGTGAAATGACTACAGTAAACTTTTAAGGCTGGAGCTGATGGAATATTCCTCTGCATGAAGGTTGGTTGGTTGGTTTGTTGTTTAACGCCGCACTCAGCAGTATTCCAGCTATATGACGGCGGTCTGTAAATAATCGAGTCTGGACCAGACAATCCAGTGATTGACATCATGAGCATCGATCCACGCAATTGGGATCGATGACATGCATCAACCAAGTCAGCGAGCCTGCCCACCCGATCCCGTAAGTCGCCTTTTACGACAAGCATTGTCACCTTTTACGGCAAGCATGGGTTGCTGGAGACCTATTCTACCCCGGAATCTTCACGGGTCTCTGCATGAAGGGAAAAGAAGTTGTAACCAATGTTGTTACCTCCTTACATCATCAGCTTGTTGTTTCCAGATGTCCCTAGTTATTGTCTCCCTTGTCCTGGCACTCAGCAGTCCGGCATGCACCGCTCCAGCTAGCCAGTGCGCATGTGCGTCTGTAGACACTGTGATTGAGCGGGTATTCGGGTCCAAGGACAACAGTTTTGGGACACTCAGTTCCCCGAGTTGTCTCCCATATCAAGGAGACCAGAAGGCCATCAATGACGGTCGGATATACGCCCATGTGTTGTATCAGGGACAGGTAAGACACCTATCTTCTTCTTCAGTTGATGATAATAATTCATTTGCATTTTTCCAACAATTTACCTTATTTGGTGGCACGTGGTCCTGTGCACAGCGCACACATCACAAATCAGGTTGAGTTAAGCAACGTCGGTCTCGGAGAGTAGTTGGATTGGTGACCATGTTAAGCAGCTTGACTCCTGAGAGTTTCTAGGGCTTCGGTCCTGCCCCACACTGAAGCACATGTACCACACACGGTGTCTCCTTAGGCAAGTGACTTTGTTCGAAATGTGCCTCTGTTCACCCAGCAGTGAGTGGGTACCCGGTAGGATGAGATGATAATGTGGTTGTTAACCTTCTAGCGCCTCACAGACAGCTTGGGTTGTATACTCCCCAGGGAGCTGAGAATGAAAATCGAGTGCTCACTGATCCATTGACCGGGGTTATAATAGTGTAGAGCTATGAGCATCCACTTGGAATGGAATCTGGCGCATTATAAATGCACTTATTATTATTACAAGCCAGATTTAAATAAGGGTCAGTCGGTAGGAATGTTACTTTCAGTTGTACACGAAAATCAAATACATATAGGATATTTTTTGTGTCGAGTGAAATATCATCTTCGTCTAATCGGGTGACGTGAGGAAGGAGATATACGTCACGAAATGAGAGAAACATGATATTTCACGAGACACATGGAATATCCTTTTTATTACATACTTTTTGTGTAGTGGTCAACCGGAATATTAAATTATTTCATTACAAATGTAAAACCTTGAAACGTAAACTCTCCCTTCCTAACACACAGGACGGCTCACCATCCCTTGTATTTGCAACTTAAAAAGTAGTTTCGTGTTGTAAAATCTTTAAAAATATAAACAAAAGTATCAAAACATATTTAGCGTCACGAAAATTCTTTATCATACATTGAGATATGATTATATACAAATTCAACTTTGAGACCTCTGTTGGAAGCGAAAGAATACACGCTGGTCAAGTAACAAAAATGGCGCTTTGCGAAACGAACCGTCTCGATTGACGAAATAACGAAACATTTTCGAGAGAATAACAAACATCAAGAAGTGATAGTAACTCCATAGATGACCATCTGTCATTATGTTGCTTGTCAATGTGGAACTAACATAAAAAGGACGTCAACAGTTTGTGTTTCGGCTTGCAGTGAAATATCAAGTGTTATGTTCACTGCAATGAAAATATCCCTTTTCTCAACTTTAGAAAACTTTCACACTGAAATATAAAAAAAATATTTAAAGGTGAGGAAAATGTATTTTGAATTGATTAAACTGAGCAGCTGCTTAATATTCAATGACGTTGACCTTGACCTTTTTTGCAGAATGCCTGGTTGTTGACGTCTGATATCTACATCAAGAATTGTCATGGTAAGTAATTTTTATAGCAGAATAGACCCGTGAAGATCCGGGGTGGAATAGGTCTTCAGCAACTCATGGTTGCCGTAAAAGGCGATTGTGCTTGTCGTTAGAGGCAACTAACGGGATCGGGTGGTCAGGCTCGCTGACTTGGTTGATGCATGTCATCGTATCTTAATTGCGTGGATCGATGCTCATGATGTCAATCACTGGATTGTCTGGCCCAGACTCGATTATATACAGACCGCCGTCATATAGCTGGAATATTGCTGAGTGCGGCGTTAAACAGCCAACCAACCAATTATGGCAGAATAACATTCCACTGACACTGGGGGCATGGAGTAGAAATTACGTATGTTATTATGTAGAGTTAAAAGACAAACACTTATGATGAGCGACACCTTCTTTCCTGCATGGAGTTAGCTGCTGATGCTCTATTTGAAGTATTACTGCTTTGTGAAAACTCCAGGGAGGTTTTCAGTAATGCCGGGCGTTGGTGAGGTGAATTGGGGTCTGACGTCGCGTTCAAAACTTTTGCACTTACATAGCAACGTGCATGTGTTTGTGAGTCTGCGTGTGTGTGTGTGTGCTTTTTTACTTGACCGGACTAATGTCGGTTTTAAAGTGGCCCAGTCGTCTAAGGCGCCGCGATTCGCTGTGCAGAGTTGCGTCCCTTGGGCACGCCAGAAAACCTATGATTGTGGGTTCGAATCCCGGTTCGCTCCGATTATGTTTCTAGGTTTGTCAGCACCATACCCGTGCTCGTGGGTTTCACCGAAGTGGTAAACGTCTGAGACTTGCATCACTTCGGGCTTTCCTCCCACATAAAGCTGGCACGCCGCGATATGACTGGAATACTGTTAAAAGCGGAGTTAAACCCAACTCACTCACTCATATCAAGCTGACACACCGGGATGTAACTGAAATAATGACACTTATCAAAGCGGCTCCCAACTCCCCCCGTTTGGTATTGCCTGTATCTCGAGACCACACGCCGGAATGCATGTGCAGAAATCTGAATTAACCATGGGACACGCCTCCTGCGTGTGGTGGTTAGAACACCTGCCCGGAAAACGAAAAGTTGTCCAATTCGATCCCCGGCCGTTAGAGACGTTAAAAGACGACAGTTGTTGTTACCCTACATGGCGCTCGGGGTAAGGGTATAAAACGATGACTTATGGGCTCGAAGTCAGTATTCTGTTTCTGCGTGGGGTATCCATGCTTAACTACGGCATGGTACCTCAACGGCCTAGAACTTTAAAACAATCATTGGTCCGGACAAGTGCAAGCTGCCACACACACACAGGGGCCCGTTTCACAAAGAGATCGTAGCGCTAAGACGGTCGTAAGTCTATGTTAAAGTATAGGAGTTACAGTAGTCGTAGCGCTACGATCGCTTTGTGAAACGGGCCCCTGCATATAAGTGCAATATTACTGAACGCGACGTTAAGCCCCATTTCACTTCACATATACGCATGCAATAATTAAGCGTTCCAACAACCTCCACAGAATCATTCGACTGTGTCTGCGCCACGGCGGCGGTAGATGTCTTGACTGGATATGGAACCGGAAGTACTACAATGACGACCTTGACCTCTGGTCAGTGTGTGACCTTGCAGGGGAAGACGTACAACTCCACTGCAGGGACCTGGTTACAAGTCAACGCCAACAACAAGGTCAGCGGCTGCTTATAGTGTCTATAGTGTACAAAGCCTTACGGGGTCAAGGTTAAGGTCACCGTCTGAGCGTGGGTAAGTTTAAAAAATGGTACTGGCAACGGCCACCTTTCTGGAAACGCACTCGGGCAACACACTCGAAGATGAAGCTCCACATTGTAAATTCTGGCAAAGTCTTTAACAGTCTTTTACATTCCTTGACGGTTTGGGAGGGGCGTGTTTCCTCGTCCAGCACCTGCGTTTGCATAACAAGGCTCACCGCACATTTTGTACAGTGTTTTGAACACAATTAATAGATGGCGGTGATCCCTCCGAAGTGATAGTACATGTATTCATGGTCTGATGTGTGATGGATCATCACTGTTGATCGCTCTGTTGGAGAGAGCGAATATTTTACACTCACTGCGCTCTTATATTAGTAGGGGGCACGGGTGGCCCAGTCGTCTAAGGCGCCGCGATTCGCTGTGCAGAGTTGCGTCCCTTGGGCACGCCAGAAACCTATGATTGTGGGTTCGAATCTCGGTTCGTCCCGATTATGTTTCTAGGTTTGTCAGCACCATACCCGTGCTCGTGGGTTTCACCGAAGTGGTAAACGTCTGCATCACGTTGGGCTTTCCTCCCACATAAAGCTGACAGGCCGTGATATAACTGGAATACTGTTAAAAGCGGCGTTAAACCCAACTCACTCACTCTTATATTGGTAGCCGGTGTAAACGCTTTCAGCATGCTTTGTTGCGCGGAAGTTAGCGCATTATTAGAATTCTTACCATGTATTTTAATTTGATTATAAGTACAGGTGTGGTTGACTCAAGCTTAACATCAATCTCATTAAAATCAAATCTTTGTACTCGCTATCGCTAAACAAAGATCTGAGGACATCCCATTAGGGGTCACGTCAGAACGACCTTTCATCCAACCAATCAGAGCGTCGCTTACCAGATCATGAAAGTGACAGTCGGAACGTGTTTTCTAATCATGCAACCACGAAATATTTGACACGGCGTATTCCGAATGACAGTTACGGGTTTTATGATTATATCCATACAATCTAGGCCATCTATAAGCCATTCCAGAGTGTTCCTCTTATCAGTTTTATTTTTTTTAATCGAGAATACGTCAAAATATGTTTCGAAGCGTAGTCGCTAGTTTAAAACTAGTGTCGTAAAGCTCGAGAAAGCTGCCTTCTGATTGGCTAATGTCGATTTCTTGTCAGTCATTTCATTGGTCCGTCACAATTCGAGAAAGATCGTTCTGACGTGACCCGTAATGGGATATCCTCAGATCTTTGTTTAGCGGTAGCGAGAACTAAGATCTGATTTTAATGAGATTGGCTTAACATTCAGTTTTGATCGTCAAAGATCATGGGCCAGCATCACCACAGCACCCAATGATCATTAACGCAGTCATGTTTGAAAATCTTTGTTGAGCAATATGGCATTTTGACAGTCCATACAGTAGTGGTTTACAAAAAGATTACGTAAACCTACATAAGAGGTAGTGCACGCGCTGGTTGGTATATAAATGACTAACAAAATGTTTCTAACGTTGATGTATGTCTTCTTGAAAATGTTACTGACATGGTTGACGAAGCTGCGACAAAAGACTCCGAGAAAGTGTCGCCCTCTGTTGTCTTTGAAGAGGGGGCGGTCGGGTAGCCTAGTGGTTAAAGCGTTCGCTCGTCTCGCCGAAGACCCGGGTTCGATTCCCGACATGGGTACAATGTGTGAAGCCCATTCCTGGTGTCCCCCGCCGTGATATTGCTGGAATATTGCTAAAAGCGGCGTAAAACCAAACTCACTCACTCACTCACTTTGAAGAGGCTCGACTGGCCCGCTGGGCTGTGTCGTCACGCCCGGTTGACTCCACACGTGAGTACATTGTGTTAAGTCCATAACGCCTGAAGGATTTGACTGGACTCTTACAAGCGACGTGTCGAGAATAGATTTTTCCTTCAGTCTGCAAAACTGGATACTTTTTTAAAATTTAAAACGACGAGCCAGAATTGTTGGTTTAAACAAAAACTCGCAACAATGTATTTTTGGTAGCAGGCAATGTCATTTTATCAATGGTCTGAAACATAATAGCGTTTCATGAATTTTTTAAGGGTAAATTCTTATTTTTCGACAACATCCACGTTTGCTCTTCAAATCCTTCAACTTGTTTTTTCAACAAAGAAATTGTCTGTCTAACGGTCGTCTTTTGTTTTGTTTTCTTCCAGATCGGATGGATTAAGAAAGGGAATGTTGTGTTCCATGAGAATTGTGGAGGTGAGTTTTGCATTTCTGGTGCACGTGTCTTTTTTATACAATAAACGTAATTAAGTAAATAAAAAAACTAAGTCTGATTAATGCAAAAAAATAACTATAATTAGTTATTTTCAACTTTTCCTTTTGTCGTATACTGCTCCACTCTTTTTAGCATAAATATATAGTAACAGCCAACTAACGGGGTAGAATAGGTCTTCAGCAACCCATGCTTGCCGTAAAAGGTGACAATGCTTGTCGTAAAAGGCGACTTACGGGATCGGGTGGTCAGGCTCGCTGACTTGGTTGATGCATGTCATCGTATCCCAGTTGCGAGGATCGATGTTCATGATGTCAGTCACTGGATTGTCTGGTCCAGACTCCATTATTTACAGACCGCTGCCATATAGCCGGAATATTGTTGAGTGTGGCGTTAAACGGACAAACAAACAAACAAACAAACAAACAACACTCGACATCAACAACACATCATGAATATAATAGAATTTTACACTATTTGGAATATGTAAATAATTTCGATGGGGCATGGGTTGCCAAATCGCCAAATTCGCCACCATTCGAGTTGTCCCTTGGGAAACGCTGTAATCTATGATCGTGGGTTCGAATCCTGGTTCGCCCCGTTATGATAAATTTCAAGGTTTATCAGCACCATACTCGCGGGTTTCACCAAAGAGGTAAACGCCCGAGACCTGCATCACTTCAGGCTTTCCTCACACACTAAGCTGACACGCCGTGATATAACTGGAATACTGTTCAACGCGGCGATAAACCCAACTCACTCACTCATTCATAATTTCCAAGTATGCATGTTTATTTCCAGGCCATTCCCAAGCCGCTTCTTCCGTTGTCCAACTGCCCGGATGTCCTAAAATCATAACACGTGCAGAGTGGGGAGCACGTGCACCACGCTCTCCACACGTGAAACTCGCCCATACTCCGTACTACGCATTCATCCACCACGGTGCGACAGCAGGCTGTTTTACACGAGGAGAATGTGTCAGGATGATACAGAGCTATCAGAACTTTCACATGGACGGACACGGTAAGGAGCTTCCTCGCACACAAACTGGTTGAACTGGCTCCCTTGTTGATAAGCGCAGCGGCCAATAAAAATCCATTCGTCACCACTCGCCCCTTTCCGTAACCTGGAAGAAGACTCGTCCCCCTATCGATGAATGTTAGGCGCGAAAGTACGACAAACCAATCAGAATGCGCGTATGATTTCAAATTCTTCTTCAAAGAATCCCTCGGAAATAATTTTTGATTTTACATATGTCTTGCATCTAAAAATATACCCAAGACACAGTTAAATGTGTTTAGTCATACTGTATTATTCCGCACGTCCCCATGTGCTTTGAATTGCATCTGAAATTTATATAATACATGTTGAAATAATATGTGAACCATTACGGGAGGTTACCAGAAATTTAAATGGGCTTCACACATTGTATCCTTGTCGGGAATCGATCCCGGGTCTTCGGCGTTACGAGCGAACGCTTTAACCACCGCCCTTAATCTAAACGTAATTAGGCTCACAGATCATCCGGCCCGTGAAGATCCGGGGTAGAATAGGTCTTCAACAATCAATGCTTGCCGTAAAAGGTGACTATGCTTGTAGTAAGAGGCGACTAACGGGATCGGGTGGTCAGACTCGTTGACTTGGTCGATGCATGTGGATCGAAGCTCATGTTGTCAATCACTGGATTGTCTGGTCCAGATTCGATTATTTACAGACCGCCGTCATATAGCTGGAATATTGCTTAGTGCGGCGTTAAACAACAAACAAACAAACACAGATCATCCTTTACACAGTACGCAGACTATTCTTACATGTAGAAAGCGAAATGAGTTAGAATACTTGAGTTACGAAATATTTTTTTAAAGGACTACAAGACAAATGATTCTATATTCTCTTCAAAAGAAGAAACGCATAGGTGGTATCAATATTTTCAAAACAAAGTTTCGTATTTTGGTTCGTATTCCATGTTGTCCTGCTACGCGAAAATGACAGTCTACATGTTCGTTTTTACCGATATATAGTGTCACAAAATGGATTTATCGTTAACGTTGGACATTTGTAGTCTTGGGAAAGTGAAAAGCAGGGATAAGTCATGGAATTTCTAACGGGATCTGGTGATAAGGCTCGCTGCCTTGGTTGATGCATGTCACCCTATCCCAATTACGTAGATCGATGCTCATTATATCAATCACTGGAGTGTCTGGTCCAGACTCGATTGTTTACAGACCACCTGTAATTTCCATATACCTGGAATTTTGTTGAACAACTAATAAACAAAGAAACATTCACAGCAGATACGCTTTATGGCAACACATATGATGTGGTAAATTTAGAACTAAAATGAAAACACGTTCTTGAAGACAATTCAAAGAGTCACTTCCCTTCTTTGTCGGGCAAATTAAAACTGGTATTTGTTACGGAAAAGATTATCAGTTACCTGTCTCGGCAGTTGTTTTATTCAACATTTATGATCGTCGGGTACGGACTTTGAAACCAAACTAAAACGCCTACCAATGGCAACAACGAAAAGAAGGCACGGATGAAATCGTGCCAGATGGTTTCAAACCGTAACATTTTGAATAAACTTCAAAGACTACAATAGATCGATATTTGTTTTACGTGGAGGGTTGGCTTCGTAGCTATCCTTTCGCTCGTCACGCTGAAAGACCAGGATCTACTGCCACATTGGGTCAATGTGTAAAGTCCATTTATTGTGTTCCCCGTCATGATGTTGCTTGAAATATGCTTAAAAGCGGCGTAAAACCATACTCAGTCATTACAGTTGTTTGTTCCTGGGTTGATATCGTGATGTTATTTGTTACTACATAACGATTGTTCACCTCTGTATTTATGACCTTGCAGGCTGGTCCGACATCGGCTACAGTTTCGTCATCGGCGAGGACGGCAATGTGTACGAGGGGCGTGGCTGGGACGCTGTGGGGGCACACACCTACAACTACAACAGTAGAGGACTTGGTCAGTGTTCATATGTGGTGTTCTATCATGTAGTGGTGGGACGATGTAGTACACAACTACAACAGTAGAGGACTTGGTCAGTGTATATGGGTGGTGTTCTACCATGTAGTGGTGGGACGATGTAGTAGACAAGTACAACAGTAGAGGACTTGGTCAGTGTATATAGGTGGTGTTCTATCATGTAGTGGTGGGAAGATGTAGTACACAACTACAACAGTAGAGGCCTTGGTCAGTGTATATGGATGGTGTTCTATCATGTAGTGGTGGGAAGATGTAGTACACATCTACAACAGTAGAGGACTTGGTCAGTGTATATGGGCGGTGTTCTATCATGTTGTGGTGGGAAGATATAGTACACATCTACATTAGGAAGGGACTTGGTCAGTGTATAGGGTGGTGCTCTATCATGTAGTGGTGAGACGATGTGGTACACAACTACAACAGTAGAGAACGTGGCCAGTGTACATGGGTGGTGTTCTATCATGTAGTGGCGGGAAGATGTAGTACACAACTGCAACAGTAGAGGACTTGGTCAGTGTATATGGGTAGTGTGCTATCATGTAGTGGTGGGACGATGTAGTACACACCTACAACAGTAGAGGACTTGGTCAGTGTATATGGGTGGTGTTCTATCATGTAGTGGTGGGAAGATGTAGTACACACCTACAGCAGTAGAGGACTTGGTCAGTGTATATGGGTGGTGTTCTATCATGTAGTGATGGGAAGTTATAGTACACACCTACAACAGTAGTGGACTTGGTGAGTGTACATAGGTTGGTGTTCTATCATGTAGTGGTGGGAAGATGTGGTACACAACTACAACAGTAGAGGACTTGGTCAGTGTACGTGTGTGGTGTTCTATCATGTAGTGATGGAAAGAAGTAGTAGACAAGTACAACAGTAGAGGACTTGGTCAGTGTATGTGGGTGGTGTTCTATCATGTAGTGGCGGGACGATGTAGTACACAACTACAACAGTAGAGGACTTGGTCAGTGTATATGGGTGGTGTTCTATCATGTAGTGGTGGGAAGATGTAATACACAACTACAATAGTAGAGGCCTCGGTTAGTGTACATAGATGGTGTTCTTTCATGGATTGGTGGGAAATGGTTGCAGTGCCGAATACCACTTTTCCAATGGCGTTATGTCATGAAACACAGGTTATTAAGCTCAGGGAATTTCAAGTCTTCGAATCCCTCTTAAAAGACACACTCCCCCATTTGCGAGAGCATTGGTGACGTAGAGTGGCGTCACAGGCGTGGCAGAAAAATATAATCGATATTTTGAGGCTGAGTCCCAGATTGCCCGTGATTATGTTTCTTTTTTTTTAGCGCCATACCCATGCTCGTGGGTTTTACCAAAATGCTAAACGTCTAAATCCTGCACCTCTCCGTATGCCACTCCGCCAAACAGCTGACACGCTGTAATTTAACTTATAAACTTTAAACCTCACATTCATTCACGACATGGCTGTTTGCGGAGTTTAACTATTCTCTTTGTTTCTCAGGGTTCTGCGTCATTGGGAACTTCATGCAGCGTCTCCCACACCAGGCGGCACAGGATGTCCTCCAGAAGATTATAGCCTGCGGGGTCAGCAACGGCAAACTGACGTCCACATACACGATGCTTGGCCACCGGGACGTTGGTGGTGCATCAGGGGCTACGTCTTGTCCAGGGGATATGTTCTATGCCCTCATACAGAAGTGGCCCCATTATAACGCGCCTGTCATCCCAAGCACAAAATAGAAGCAATTCAAGATATTAGTAATAAAACATATCTGATGTATATTTACATATTTTAAAGAATGTCTTACTTTTTAAAATCTTTTTCATCCCATTTGGCTTATGCATCATAATTATTCTAAATGATTAAAGGCAGCATGGACTATTAATAGCAGCACGTATCAACTATTTCTTATTAATTCTTTCTTGATCCCCAATCACATGATTTCACAAAACAGATCAAATATATATCTTTATCATTATCTGCCTTTTTTATGTTATTTTACCATATTTCAGTCATACAGTACATCCAAAATGTATACATATGTCAATATGTCCGTCACAACGTTTATTTCATCACACTACATCAACTACACTCTTTAATAGTTCCTTCCAAAAAGAAAATGTTTTTGTGAGGTTTTCATTTTTTGCTACTGTCGTGGAGGATAGTCATTTAAAATAAACCACAATAATATAAAAGTACAGTGAGTGAGTGAGTGGAGCTGAGCTGAGCTGAGCTAAGCTGAGCTGAGCTGAGTGACGTCTTTTCACAAACAACATCCCTGCCTGCGAATGACACCAGAATACACATTGTTCCTGGTGTGGAAACGAAATCGTGCCTTCGTCGATATGAACAAACGGTGTATCCACTGGACTACATCGACGGCCCTGTATTGATGTGAGTCCGAGGATATTGTTTCAACAGAGTGACCACTCTACTTCTTTGCCTCTGTTCTTGAGCACAACACTGCAGATAATAGCCTGTGTGGTATTGTATGTGTGTGTGTGTTTGTTGTTTAACGCCGCACTCGGCAATATCCCAGCTATATGACGGCGGTCTGTAAATAACCGAGTCTAGGGCCAGCCAATCCAGTGATTGACATCTACGCAATTGGGATACGATGAAATGCCTCAACCAAGTCAAGACCACCCGACCCCGTTAGTCCCCTCTTACGAAAAGCATAGTCGCCTTTTACGGCGCATCTATTCCAGTTATATCACGGCGTGTCAGCTGAATTTGGGAGGAAAGCCCGAAGTGATGCAGGCCCCAGACGTTTAACACTTTGGTGAAACCCACGAGCACGGGTATGGTGCTGACAAACCTAGAAACATAATCGGAACGAACCGGGACTCGAACCCACAATCATAGGTTTCTGGTGTGCCAAAGGGACGCAACTCTGCAAAGCGAATCGCGGCGCCTTAGACGACTGGGCCACCCGTGCCCCCTCTTACAATATATAACCCAATAAGGTACATTTAGGTAGGCTTGGGTCCGATAATTAAACGCGAATTGTTTGATAGTAGCCAAAAATGATAAGCGGATATTTTGGAAGCATCCCACTGCATCCCCAGTGGATTCAGTTAGCATGTCTATTAAATACAGTGATAATGGAACGCTGGCTTTATAAATATGTATCAGAAATTATTTTTATCGGACTATTATAGCTCTGGTCCAAAGGTTAATTTCATTGTACAATATTACAGAATTCACTCAAACGGTGCTCCATCATGTTGGTATCATGACAGTGTCTAGTGGCATTTTACTTTCAAATCTTATTTAAACACCATGACTTGTTGACAGAATCAATAGTAATGACTATTGTTTATTTACATACAGTCAAACACAGATGTGTCGAACTTACGTTTGTCGCGAGGTGAAATCGTGGTCCATGCGAATTCATTCTCTATTCATCATTTTCCGTTGTGACGAACCTCGGATAAATTGACGTATTTGTGTAGGCCACTGTAACGTCCCCACAGACTGATACATCGGTTAAATATTCTTCACAATATTCACAATGGACCAAGTTCCAAAACTTCATGCTGCACTGCTCTACTTTCTGGTTTTATTTTCATATTATATCTCTTGGCATCATGTGGGATGTAATCTGAAAAAGAAACACTTTTATAATCCAATTGATATACCAGAGTGCTTTAAATCCATACAGGTACATATAATAAACTGACCCCACCCAACTTAACGACTCCCGGAATGCGACCATCTTCCCGAGGCAAGGGTGTTAACTGACTATAAAAGTCCAGTTTCCACCCTTGCCGAACTAGGCTGGTATTATGGCGTTACATTTTGGCTGGACTAACGAGTATATGCATAGTCCAATCAAAATCGCGCACCGAAATCGAAATCCGGTTCGAAAACTGTCATGCAGATTTCGGTCGATTGGAGGATTTGCAAAGCATGTGCACCGCTAACTAGTCGTCAACAGATATTTTCTAAATCTTTTCATGTTTTTAATCAAGGTGCTCACGTGATTTGATGCACTTCGCGATGTAAGACCCGTTTTATCACAATATATATATCTTGATTATCGATCAGATCGTCTTGACTTGTGCGCCGCCGTTTTGTTTGTTTTTGTTTGAAGCAAATGCAGGTGATACGAGAGGTGGAATCTGATTGGTCCACAGGAGAGGCATAGAAGGGACATAACTCGTAATAGCCACTGGTGGCGCTACGATAGAGTTCAGTAATTCCAGCCTAGTTCGGCAAGGGTGGAAACTGGACTTTTAAAGTCAGTTAACTCTTTTGCCTCGGGAAGATTGAGAACGACACGCCTATGACAACACCGAGTCATCAGCTTACTTTATTACCAATATTTGTGTACCAAAATCTATTGTCAAAGTAGACACAATTTATGAAGAACAACTTCTTTAATACAGTAATGGCGACGTTTCGGTATAGATCCTTATACCGTTGTCAAGCAAGACTGTCTTGCTTAGTCGGTTGTCGTGAACAGTTGGATATTTATGTTTTGGCTGCCGTGCGGACAATATTTATTCAGTTTTCGTGCATTTTCGACAGTACTTTTTCCCTTGTCTGAATTGGGGACAATAAACTCCGAGGGGTTAACGCCGCTTTTAACAGTATTCCAGTTATATCCCGGCGTGTCAGCTGAATGTGGGAGGAAAGCCCGAAGTGATACAGGTACCATTTCGGTGAAACCCACGAGCACGGGTATGGTGCTGACAAACCTAGAAACATAATGAGGGGTGAACCGGGTTTCGAACTCACAATCATAGGTTTCTGGCGTGCCCAAGGGACGCAACTCTGCACAGCGAATCGCGGCACATCAGAAGACTGGGCCACCCGTGCAGCCCTCAAAATGTTTGAGAGGTTGTCATAGCGCCCTATTCCCGACAATTCACAAAGTCTTCCAAAGTCACGGGGTCTGTCGGGTAGCCTAGAGGTTAAAGCGTTCGTTCGTCACGCAGAAGACCGGGTTTCGATTGCCGACATGGGTACAATGTGTGAAGCCCATTTCTGGTGTCCGTGATATTGCTGGAATATTGCTAAAAGCGGAGTAAAATCAAACTCACTCACTCACTCACTCACTCACTCACTCTAATTATTACGTAAACATGACATGTATATGTATGGAAACAATCAAGTGTTATCAATTATACGATTCTGACCCCAACTGTTAATCCCCACCCCAATTATTTAACATTTAACGAGCTGTACAACTGGCACTCATCATCGATTATTATTGTTTATGACCCGTGAAGATCCGGGGTAGAATAGGTCTTCAGCAACCCATTATTGCCGTAAAAGGCGACTATGCTTGTCGTTAGAGGCGACTAACGGGATCGGGTGGTCAGTCTCGCTGTCTTGGTTGCTGCATGTCATCAATCCCAATTTCGTGGATTGATGTTCATGACGTCAATCACTGGATTGTCTGGTCCAGACTCGATTATTTACAGACCGCCGTCATATAGCTGGAATACTGCTGAGTGCGGCATTAAACAACAAACAAACAAACTATTGTTTATGTTTATCAATATATTCCATGTCAGGTGATCCTGTCCCAACCGGGCACACGATGCAGCAGATTCCTGGCACGGCTAAGGGATGCAATTCTCTTCAGAGATTTGCAGGGCTAGAGGCAACTAGACTTGCACCCTACCCCCTCTATAATGATGAACATGGACCTATTTACCACCATAGATGGTATTCGCAAGTGACGTCACCATCTCCATTGGTCCAGCCTCTACTTTAGCACATGATTATGTCTCGCTCTTTAGAGTAATTTGATTGTGGGGCTATTTTAACGTCGTGTGTTCCGAATCAGGCTAAATAACAAATCAGTGGTAGTGAGTGAGTGAGTGGGGTTTTACGCCGCTTTTAGCAATATTCCAGCAATATCACGGCGGGGGACACCAGAAATGGGCTTCACACATTGTACCCATGTCGGGAATCGAACCCGGGTCTTCTGCGTGACGAGCGAACGCTTTAACCACTAGGCCCCGCCGCCCACAAATCAGTGGTCTTGGTTGTTTTATTTTATTATAGAATGGAGATATATTCAACTAGATAATCAAGTGTTGGGGGGGTGCGGGGGGGGTGGGGGTGGGGGGTGGGGTGGGGGGGAGGGGGGGGGGTGCGGTAGGCCAAGTCGTCTAAGGCGCCGCAATTCACTGAACAGTTGCGTCCCTTGGGCAAAACAGAAACCTATGATTGTGGGTTCGAATCCCGGTTCGTACCGATTGTTTCTAGGTTTGTCAGCACCATACCCGTGCATGTGAGTTTCATCGAAGTGACGTCTAAGGTCTGCATCGCGTTTCCTCCCTCATTAGCTGACACGCGGTTATATAACTGGAATACTGTTAAAAGCAGCGTTATACACAACTCACTCACTTAGATAATCGAGGATGACCCCGACCCACCACCCAACGCCCAGAGAACACAAGAGGAACGACACGCAAATGACAACACCAAGTCAACATAGAGAGTGCACGTCGGCACACCACCACAAGATTTATTTTTTAAAAAACGACACACAGACATCAGGGCATACAGCTTCTGACCCAGGACTGGGAACACCAACTGGCTGAGCTTGATGGGAAGTGGGAGCCGCCGAAGTGACTGACAGCCTCGTAGTAGCTGAGTGATATGGCTTTACAGAACTCCTTCTCTGCTGCAGTCAGGACGCTGACGATGAAGCGTTTCCTCATAGATGAGCACACCCTGTTTGCCCCATTGAACAGCATGCCGTCACAGTCATTCTTAGTTCTCCCGTAATAGGATGCCTAGGGGAAGAGAAGGGACATGTACAAAATTGTTTGGGTTTTTTTCGTGGGAAGCTTGATATATTCTAGTTGGTTTATTGTTTAATGCAACGCTCCCGTGAAGATCCGGGGTTAAATAGGTCTTCAGCAACCCATGCTTGCCGTAAAAGGTGACTATGCTTATCGTATCGGGTGGTCAGGCTCGCTGACTTTGTGGAAGTGAGTGAGTAGGGTTTAACGCCGCTTTTAACAGTATTCCAGTTATATCGCGGCGTGTCAGCTTAATGTGGGAGGAAAGCCCGAAGTGATGCAGGTCTCAGACGTTTACTACTTCGGTATGGTGCTGACAAACCTAGAAACATAATCGGGGCGAACCGGGATTCGAACTCACAATCATAGGTTTCTGGCGTGCCCAGGGACGCAACTCTGCACAGCGAGACTTGGTTGAAGGATGTCATCGATCACATTTGCGTAGATCGATGCTCATGATATCAATCACTGGATCGTCTGGTCCAGACTCGATTATTTACAGACCGCCGTCATTTAGCTGGAACATTGCTGAGTGCGGAGTAGAACAACAAACCAAACTAAATCCAGTTGTATGGTGGCGGCCTGTGGATACCTATAAAGCCCAAACTGGACAAGGCCGTTAGGGAGTGTGCCTGTTGCGTAGATATGTATGTTTTCGTTGTCCTGCGTAGGGGGACGGGGTAAATGGGGTTTATTATTCTGTTCAAGATTGTTGCACTTATATTGCGACATGCTTGCACGTATGTGTGGATTCGGCTGTTTGTACTTGTATGGATAATGTCGATATTACTGTACTAGCTCACTGAGACAGCATGCCGCAGTTTAACACGAACACTCCACTCAGACACAGTGTACTGGCTCCGAGCCGACCAGTCCTTGTTTTAGCCCCTTAACGCCGAGCGCCAGGCAGGGTAAAAACAAGTACCATCTTTTGACGTCTTTTGGTATGAGGCGGCCGGGGACTGAACCCCGGACCTTGCGCTCCTCGGGCGGACCCGCCGCCACTAGACTACGGAGGCGGTCCCTGCGCAGATAGGTGTGTGTGTGTGTGTTTGTTGTTGTGTAGACTGGTATGTGATAGTTGTCATGGTTGTTGTTGGTTGTGCGTTGACATACCTACAAGTCTATGGTATAAGATAGAAATCAAGGGTCTGTCTCAAAAGTTTCATCTGGTAGAAATAGGAAACTTGATAAGATAGGGATTGATAAGACGTACGGTCTTCAAGTTGTACGAGCAATAGGTTCCCCCAACGGATTCAATATGAAATTAGAGAAACGATAAACGTTTGACGAAATACGATCATCACAGCTGTGCATGAGATGGGGTTCAAATACGTGGGAACAACAGGTAGGTGTTCAGGGAAAAGTGTTCTATAAAATTCATGCATTCAAATTATCTGCGTACCATTCATGACTGCATATGTCTCGGGTTCCAAATCATTTACCTTAATGAGACATAAGTGAGTGAGTGAGATTGGTTATACGCCGCTTTTAGCAATATTCCAGCAATATCACGGCGGGGGACACCAGAAATGGGCTTCACGCATTGTACCCATGTCGGGAATCGAACCCGGGTCTTCTGCGTGACGAGCGAACGCTTTAACCACTAGGCTACCCGCCCGCCCCTTGATGAGACATGGTAGAGAAGGATAGGGGTGTAAGGGGCGGTCGGGTTCGATTCCCGACATGGGTACAATGTCTGAAGCCCATTTCTGGTGTCCCCCGCCGTGATATTGCTGGAATATTGCTAAAAGCGGGGTAAAACCAAACTCACTCACTCACTCACTCAGATAGGTGTAACACGCCCATGGTACCTCCAGGTAAACGCGTCATTGTGTTGCACGCTGAAACACGTGCGAAGGTCTCATTTGCGGGTGTCTTATTCTCCGAGGCTAAATAGACGAGCGGCGATTAGTATCAGGAAATGAATGGGGAGGTGCTCATAGAATGAACGGAACACCAGCTTCTATCTCATCTGAATAGCCACAGTGTCATTGTCCCTGATAACGCCAGTTATCACAACGTGAGAACCTGGTAGAGGCACACCAACCATGAGAACTTTGAAGGCAGGGATGCAAAGTTATCTAACTTCTGTCATTCAAACATCTGAAACCAAGGTACAGCTTATGGAACATTCGTGACCAACTCGTGTTATTCCGGGACTAGCCGAATAGCGACTCGTGCCCCTCTCATGGCCATTTTTGCAACTGGGTTCAGTCTTAGCGCAAACGGGCATACCTAAAACAATTGTCAACTCGTATATTTCAGATGCAATTTGAAGCACATCGGGACGTGCGGAATTATACACTCAGTATGATTGAACACATTTAACTGTGTCTTGGGTATATGTTTAGGTGCAAGACATATGTAAAATCAAAAATTATTTCTGAGGGATTATTTGACAAACAACTCGAAATCATACGGGCATTCTAATTGGTTTGTCGTATTTTCGCACATAACATTCATCGACAGGAGGGCGAGTCTTCGTGCAGGTTACGGAAAGGGGCGAGTGGTGACGAATGCTTATGGAACAGATCCGACTGAACAAAACGCCAATTCAATACAGGGCAGACAAACTGGTTTTGCATCACGGTAACGTCGTCTAACGTTCGCCCGTCAGACGCCGTGAGCTAAATCCGATAGAGCTCATCTGGCCTACTGCAAAGGGTTTACAGCTAATAATAACACAACCTTCAGGCTGAAAGATGTCAAAACATTCATACATGTTCCTTTTCCAGGGACCGCCTCCGTGTTGTTAACCTGTCTCTCCCTCGTCATTAAGGTGCGAACACAAGCTAGATCTGGTCGGCTCGGAGTCAGTTTACTGTGTCTAAGACGGTAGGGATCCGCTTGCACGCTCCTTGGCCTGTGTGCTCATTTGTTTAACCAAAGTGACAGACGTTTTACGAACGCTCCCAGTTCCGCTGATTTCGAACAAGCTGAGTTTGTGTGTTCCTGAGTTCCCGTTCATACCTCATTCACTCTTACTTCGTCAGACCGCCTCCGTGGTCTAAAGGTAGAGCGTCCGCCGGGAAGGGGAAGGTCGTGGGTTCGATCCCCGGCCTCGTCATATCAAAAGACGTGAAAAGATACTTGTTGTTACCCTGTCTGGCGCTCAGCATTAAGGGGCTAAAACAAGGACTAGTCGGCTGGGAGTCAGTATACTGTGTCTGAGTAGGGTATTCATGTTAAACTGCGGCATGGTATCTCAGTGTGCTAGCACTTTAAATCGGCATCAGTCCGGACTAATACAGGCAGCCACACACACACACACGTGCATGCAAGTCGCTATATAAGTGCAATAATCTTGGACGCGACGATAAACCCCATTTCACCTCACCTCACCTCTTTTCCAAGAATCACTTCTGAAGTTTGTCCAGAGGCTGAAGATCATATGCTTGGCGTTGAAAATCAGTACCACCAATTTGATGGAGTTGATACCAGCCTCGTCATCCTAACGTACATCTCTTTGGATGACACTATTACCGATCTAGATTCCACATCTACAGTATCAGAGCTGTGATTGGATACCGATTGTTGGGCGTCAAATAGTATTCAAAGTGCAATATATAGTTCAAAACGTGTTATGCTAATTGGTTTTGTACATATCACGCGTTGATATCATATGTCAATGCATCTTGGGTACAATGTGTGAAGCCCATTTCTGGTGTCCCCCGCCGTGATATTGCTGGAATATTGCTAAAAGCGGCGTAAAACCATAGTCACTCACTCACCCAATACATCTAAGCGCATTTACGTATTTATAAACTGAAACCATATTACGTATTCCGAAATGAAATATCACATTACTCGTTCAAGCAGGAAATTAAGATTCAAATTTCTGTTATCCCACCATTAGGTGAGGTGAAATTGGGTTTAACGTCGCGTCCAAGATTATTGCACTTATATAGCGACTTGCATGCACGTGTGTGTGTGTGTGGCTGCCTGTATTAGTCCGGACTGATGCCGATTTATAGTGCTAGCTCACTGAGATACCATGCCGCAGTTTAACATGAATAGCCCACTCAGACACAGAATACTGACTCCGAGCCGACCAGTCCTTGTTTTAGCCCCTTAATGCCGAGCGCTAGACAGGGTAACAACAAGTACCTTCTTTTAACGTCTTTTTGTATGACGCGGCCGGGTATCGAACCCCGGACCTTCAGCTCTCCGGGCGGACGCTCTACCACTAGACCACGGAGGCGGTCTATTCCACCATTAAGTTAACTTACAATTTTCAATGGTCGGATGATAATATTTTCTATCTTCATTCCTATTTTCATTTCTACCTCCTAGCGTGAAATATTTGCATTTTGATTTATTGAGAGTCTCCCGAATTCCTGGACTGTAGTAGCGATACCTTGGTGACATGTTCACTTGACACCAGAGTATTGTTGTCACCTACAATTATAATCTATTTCATACACACTGGTACACCATTGTTATCTCAATTTTACCTATAAACATGAGTTTGTGACAAAATTGCATCAAAGTTAGCGATATGCCAAATTAGGTCAATGTTATTTAATAGGATATTTGGTACGATCTTTTCTTTATAAAGTATATTTTGAAAGAGAAGTGGAAAATTCAGTTTTCTTGCATTTCCGACAGAACTTTACCCCTTGTCGGACAATGAACTCCGAGGTTAAAGTACTCACACATTCATAACAAACATCGTGCTTGTCACAGCTGGGCGTGAAGCGGGTCTTGAAGAAGTAGGGTAAGTTATATGGAATGCTGCATCCGTTTGAGCGGGAAGCACAGCTCTGTGACGTCACCACCGTCAATACTGCAGCACATAGTACAACAAAAGGGAGAATGGTCTTCATTGTGCCAATCTGAAGATCAAAATCACAGACGTTAGTGAGTGAGTGAGTGAGTATGGTTTTACGCCGCTTTTAGCAATATTCCAGCAATATCACTGTTGGGGACACCAGAAATGGGAGACGTTAGTGAAAGTTATTGGGTACAGACTCAAAGAAGCTCAGTCCGCGTTTAGTTAACTCGGACAATAACTTTCTTTTTTAAAATGGCTGACGTAGCGGCCATATTGAAAATCATATTCGATGCTCGTCCGTTACAGATCTAGCCAGACAAGCAGGTCATGGGCGGATACAGCTTTTTTGGAAAGGTGGGGTGCACAATTAATATCTATTTATTGTCTTTGGTGGTAATTTATACAGAAATAATGATTTTTTTCGAAATAAAAAGGGGGGTGCGCACCCCCGCACCCCCTCTCTGTATCCGCCCATGCAGGTGATATATCTCAAAGAGTCAAGTTATCGCAAACCACCTGCTTGTCTGGCAAAATCTGTAACTGATGGGCGTTGAATATGATTTTCAATATGGCCGTCACGTCGGCCATATTAAAAAGAAACTTATTGTTTGTAAACAATTCTCCTTTTCATCCAGATGCTATTATACAATTTGATTCCTATGCAGTGGGTTCAGCACATGTTTACTTTCGACATTTTTAATATAGATCTTGGTTTGACATCTGCATTTTGGCTATGCCCTGAAATCCTCCCAAACTTCCATCGGTAATGCCTTGAATCTGATATTTGACATCAGACATTGTGTATGCTTCTAATGGATGGCGGTTCCGCTATGTAATGGTTTTATCAGATCAGTCATTGAACCGCTATTATATTTGTTCGCTAACAGTGTGTTAAACTATTGCAATGATGTCTATAGGTGCTCCTGCTTTTGGCCTTTTGGCGTAACAATTGCTGTATGTTACTGTGAATGTAGAACTTAATGCAAGTGTGAAGTCAATGCTAAAAAGTGGTCTTTGCTCACTTAACAAAACTACGCATTTACGCTTCAATTAACTGTTGACAAAGGGGTTCTCCCCTCGTAGCTCTTCAGGTAAACGAGGGGCGGTCGGGTAGCCTAGTGGTTAAAGCGTTCGCTCGTCACGCCGAAGACCCGGGTTCGATTCCCGACATGGGTACATTGTGTGAAGCCCATTTCTGGTGTCCCCCGCCGTGATATTGCTGGAATATTGCTAAAAGCGGCGTAAAACCATACTCACTCACTCACTCACTCAGGTAAACGAACAGATGATAACAGTGACTGAGTGAGTATGCTTCTACGCCGCTTTAAGCAATATTCCAACAATATCACGGCGGGGGACACCAGAAATGGGCTTCACGCATTGTACCCATGTCGGCAATCGAACCCGGGTCTTCGGCGTGACGAGCGAACGCTTTTACCACTAGGCTACCCGCCCGCCCCTTGATAGTCAACTCGTAAAGAAAGTCAGGAGCCTAATCAAAGAAATGTGTTTAATGTGGCTAAAACTGTTTCGTTTAAAGTTCGTAATTAAAGAAAGCATTTTGACAGGTTTGCGGTATCATAGCTTACAAAGCAATGTCGACGCAAAGCATTTAGCTGCGAGAAACATCTCTGGACGGTTTAAGGTTAAGCCAATCTTAATGTCAGTGAGTTAGTATGGTTTTACGCCGCTTTTAGCAATATTCCAGCAATATCACGACAGGGGACACCAGAAATGGGCTTCACACATTGTACCCATGTCGGGAATCGAACCCGGGTCTTGTGCGTGACGAGCGAACGCTTTAACCACTAGGCTACCCGACCGCCCAGATGATAACAAATTTGGTAAATCCAAATGTGAAAGTTGCGATAAAATAAGACGAGACATGATGATTTACCATTTATGTTGTGTTTCCTGTTGTGCCAGGCATTGTTTGTATTCAGAGATTAAATTTACCGTGTGTATCTACCGGTGATCCAGTTACGAAATACCAAATAATTTATAAAAGAATTTTGAAGCAATAACCGTAAAGAATTGTATCCAAAACAAATATTTTACCAGGAATAAAATAGTTTTGGTTCACATCAATGTCAACGTAAGAGCGGATGAGTGAATGTTGTTCAACGCCGCAGTCAGCAATGTTCTAGCTACATCATGGCACCACGTAATTAACATTGTTAATTATGTTCAGTATTTGCGAAAAGCTTCGGATCCTGGGGCCTAGTCTTTCTCCACAGTCCCCACGGGTGTAAAAACATACAGAAGTGACTGGTATAAATATATCATAAATAAAAAACACTACATATATACGCTCCTGTACTCACCTATAAATCAAATGAGCGCAGAGGTGACGCCAGTCGCTGCTTTATAATGTCAGAGATAATGACAGTGGGAAAAGCAGGATGGTTGAACACACCTTAACAGAGTCAATCAACACACTGTCACATCACGAAGTCCTTATTTCAGGACACACTGTGATTACACTCGGGAAAAGTCGTGAAAGATGAAGAGATATATATTTCGTCTCAGCTCCCGATGCATAAAAATCTTGAAATGTTTCACCTGACATTTTTACTGGTCCATGTGGACGTCCCAACAAATATTAGTCCAAAGGATGCACGCGCGCACGTACACACATACACACACAGAATAAAAAAACAACAACAAAAAACACTCGATCATAACCAAGACCCACTTGCACCAATGTTGTAAGTCTATGTAATAATAAGGAGTTACGATAATCATTCTTCTACGATCGCTTTGTGAAAGTTATCACGAATTTAGTGTCTTGGTATATTCAAACACAAATGTTTCATCAAACACAACTTTTCCTTAGTCTGTGACTTTCGACCTGGAAATTATAAATTTAGTAGATGGATCAAATTTTGACAAACATGTTGCACCAAAAACAAGTCTTCGTAAGGCTGTTACATTTGACCTGGAAATGATGAATGTACTATATGGATCTAATTTGGACACACATTTCACCAAAACAAGTCTTCGTAAGTCTGTTACATTTGACCTGGAAATGATGAGTGTACTATATGGATCTAATTTGGACACACATTTCACCAAAACAAGTATTCGTAAGTCTGTTACATTTGACCTGGAAATGACAAACGTACTTAATAGATCTTAATTTGACACACACATTTCACCAAAACAAGTCTTCGTAAGTTTGTGACCTGTGACCTGGAAATGATAAAGGTACTTGATAGATCTAATATTGACAGAGTCAATCAACACACTGTCACATCACGAAGTCCTTATTTCAGGACACACTGTGATTACACTCGGGAAAAGTCGTGAAAGATGAAGAGATATATATTTCGTCTCAGCTCCCGATGCATAACAATCTTGAAATGTTTCACCTGACATTTTTACTGGTCCATGTGGACGTCCCAACAAATATTAGTCCAAAGGACGCACGCTCGCACGTACACACATACACACACAGAATAAAAAAACAAACAAAAAACACACTCGATCATAACCAAGACCCACTTGCACCAATGTTGTAAGTCTATGTAATAATAAGGAGTTACGATAATCATTCTTCTACGATCGCTTTGTGAAAGTTATCACGAATTTAGTGTCTTGGTATATTCAAACACAAATGTTTCATCAAACACAACTTTTCCTTAGTCTGTGACTTTCGACCTGGAAATTATAAATTTAGTAGATGGATCAAATTTTGACAAACATGTTGCACCAAAAACAAGTCTTCGTAAGGCTGTTACATTTGACCTGGAAATGATGAATGTACTATATGGATCTAATTTGGACACACATTTCACCAAAACAAGTCTTCGTTAGTCTGTTACATTTGACCTGGAAATGACAAACGTTCTTAATAGATCTTAATTTGACACACACATTTCACCAAAACAAGTCTTCGTAAGTCTGTTACATTTGACCTGGAAATGACAAACGTTCTTAATAGATCTTAATTTGACACACACATTTCACCAAAACAAGTCTTCGTAAGTTTGTGACCTGTGACCTGGAAATGATAAAGGTACTTGATAGATCTAATTTTCACACAAATATTCCACCTAAAACAAGTCTTCGTAAGACTGTTGTTTTTTACCTGGAAATGATGAATGTACTATATGGATCTAACATTGACAAACATGTTGCACCAAAAACAAATCTTCGTAAGGCTGTTACATTTGACCTGGAAATGATGAATGTACTATATGGATCTAATTTGGACACACATTTCACCAAAACAAGTCTTCGTAAGTCTATTACATTTGGCCTGGAAATGACAAACGTACTTAATAGATCTTAATTTGACACACACATTTCACCAAAACAAGTCTTCGTAAGTTTGTGACCTGTGACCTGGAAATGATAAAGGTACTTGATAGATCTAATTTTGACACAAATATTCCACCTAAAACAAGTCTTTGTTAGACTGTTGTTTTTTACCTGGAAATGATGAATGTACTATATGGATCTAACTTTGACAAACATGTTGCACCAAAAACAAGTCTTCATAAGGCTGTTACATTTGACCAGGAAATGATGAATTTACTATATGGATCTAAATTTGACACACATATTCCACTAAAACAAGTCTTCGTAAGTCTGTTACATTTGACCTGGAAATGATGAATGTACTATATGGATCTAATTTTGACACACATATTCCACTAAAACAAGTCTTCGTAAGTCTGTTACATTTGACCTGGAAATGATGAATGTACTATATGGATCTAATTTTGACACACATATTCCACTAAAACAAGTCTTCGTAAGGCTGTTGTTTTTTACCTGGAAAGGATTAATGTACCAGATGGATCTAATTTTGACTCACATATTTCACCAAAACAAGTTTTCGTACGTTTGTAATCTCGTTTGGCCTGGAAATGACAAATGTAGCCGATAGATCTAGAGCTAATTTTGACACACATATTTCACCTTAAGCTAGTCTTCTTGAGTCTGCTACATTTGACCTTTGAATGATAAATGTACTAGATAGGTCTAACTTTACACACATATTCGACCAAAAACAAGTCTTTGTAAGTCTGTTACTTTTAAACCTGGAAATGATAAATGTACCAGATAGATATAATTTTGACAATATACATTCCACCAAGAACACGTTTTCCTCAAGTTATAAGCTGTGGCCTGGAAATGATAAAAGTACCAGACAGATCTATGTTTGACACACATTTTACACCAAAACAAGTTTCCGTAAGTCTGTAACATGTTGGAAATGACAAATGTACTAGATAGATCTACTGTGACGAGGTGGGCGTGTATTGAAATCTATTTGCTGCGACGAAACAACAAAGAATGTCATTGCAGGGAATTCCCAACATGCAAACGCTCATGTTAGCGATCGCTTATTCATTTCCTCGAGACACTTTGTAGTCAGTTGGCTGTCGGGGTACGCATGAGGTCAAAGGTACGGAATGAAATAGTTTACAATCCTCCGACTGGAACAAAACATATAAAGAATTGCCCTGACTTTGTGTTTACGTTCAAACCTCCATGGAGTGCGTCGGAAAGAAGGAGCTGACATGGCAGCCTATTCATAACAACTCTGTTTACTGCTAAGTCTAATTACAATGAGGGGCGGTCGGGTAGCCTAGTGGTTAAAGCGTTCGCTCGTCACGCCGAAGACCCGGGTTCGATTCCTGACATGTGTACAATGTGTGAAGCCCATTTCTGGTGTCCCCCGTGATATTGCTGGAATATTGCTAAAAGCGGCGTAAAACCATACTCACTCACTCACTCACTAATTACCATGAGGCCATGACATGTATATGTGAAGACTGAATAAATTATTATCAATTATAAGGTTCTAATCTCAATTATGCATCACCCCATTTTATTTTACATTTTCTGTCCTCCATTCTGAAAGTGCAATGGTCACTCCTCATTAATTACTTTATATTCATGATATATTCCATATTCCATGTCAGGCGACCTTGTCCGACCTGGTACCCGTTCCACAAAGCGATCTTAGCGCTGCGATTGTCGTAAGTCAGGGTTAAAGAATGGGCGTTACGATCGAATTAGCGCTAAGATCACTTAGTGGAACGGGGTCCTGGTACAAGGTGGTTCTAGTACATATCTTCTTGTTTTAAGAACTGAGTGAGTGAGTTGGGTTTAACGCCGCTTTTAACAGTATTACAGTTATATCACGGCGTGTCAGCTTAATGTGGGAGGAAAGACCGAAGTGATGTTTACCACTTCGGTGAAACCCACGAGCACGGGTATGGTGCTGACAAACCTAGAAACATTACCGGGGCGAATCGGGATTCGAACCCACAATCATAGGTTTCTGGCTTTCCCAAGGGACGCAACTCTGGACAGCGAATCGCGGCGCCTTAGACGACTGGGCCACACGTGCCCCCTTGTTTTAAGGACAATTGTATACGCTGGAAGCCACTGCCTCTTCCGACAGCGAATCGAACATAGTTTCTTTTGCACATAGAAATAGGCAAATTGAACTTTTACAATCAGCGTCACAAGCGTATATTAGCATGAACAAAAAAAATGAAATTCGTACAGTTGGTCTTTCATTTCAAGAAGTTTCATTTACCATTGAAGACAAACGTCACGGGGACGAAAAATCTCTCAAACTCTTCAGCGCTAGACTACACAGAGTAGCAGTACCGTAGTATCTGTATGAAAATAACGTGGTGAAGATCACCCGAATTACCCTATCATTAATTGAACACATAGTGAATCAGATGATAAGATTCTCCTTCGTATACCCACGCGAGGGTTCCAGGCTAGAAATACTCCTGAACATCTTATGTTGGTTTTAAGTGACGACTTAATGGATCGGGTGGTCTTGGTTGGTGGCGTGTCATCGTACCCCGACGGCGAATTCCTTTGCTTATAATATAAATCAGTTGTTTGTCTTGACCAGACGCGATGATTTACAGAGAGCCGTCATATAGCTGGAGTAGTGCTGAGAGTGGCGTTAATAACAAAAAAGGTACAGATCGTATTCGGGCCGACATCCGTCATCCTGTGCCCGCCATGCTGCTTTGTTGTAACACCTGCATGTTATCCAATGACATTTGTATCCGCTTCTTTCTGTGTAAATCATCTTTGCCACCCCCTCCTCCCACGACGTTTCATTTGTCAGTGTGAATCATGTAAATTATTTTCCAAAAAAAACATATCAGTTATGATGTCATCACAATTTTTGCTTTTGGTTATTTGATATGACTCTCCCCCATGCATAAACAATGCAATGTTCACCAGAAGCTCTGCATAAGGAGAAATGTTATACATCTTGATGTTATATATAATGCTAATAGTGTATTTAAAATAAACCATCTCGCAGGGTTTGTAAATGCTCTCAGTTAAAGCAGGCCTTTGCCAATCTCGAGCCCCCATTGTAACTAAACGTACCTTCAACGTGTGTGTGAGTGAGTTGGGTTCAACGCCGCTTTTAACAGTATTCCAGTTATATCACGGCGTGTCAGCTTATTGTTGGAGGAAAGCCCGAAGTGATGCAGGTCTCAGACGTTTACCACTTCGGTGAAACCCACGAGCACAGGTATGGTGCTGACAAACCTAGAAACATAATTGGGGCGAACCGGGATTCGAACCCACAATCATAGGTTTCTGGCGTGCCCAAGGGACGCATCTCTGCACAGCGGATCGCCTTAGACGACTGGGCCAACCGTGCCCCCACCTTCAACGTGACGTGTAATGACCCTTGATGCGATATACACACTGTTGTTTATTTACTGCTCGGTGAAACTACAAACAGGGTTTATAATTGATGAGGACACGGGTTATCCAACCTGGATTTTGGTGAAACAAAATGTTCTCCAGTATCTCTTGTTTGTCCTCAGAACCAACTGAGCAGGACAGGACTCGGTGACCTCGGCCCGTTTCCACGATCTTAGAGGAACGATTGTCGTAAGTGTAGATGCAATTTAAAGTGTGGGGGTAGCGCCTTAGCGCTGAGATCTTTTTTTACCGGGTCCCTAGTTGACTGTCATCTATGGTGCCCCGTTGATCTCTATTAATGTGTATACTGGTTTGCCAGGTTTGGGGTGAGTGAGTATGGTTTTACGCCGCTTTTAGCAATATTCCAGCAATACTATGGCGGGGGACATCGGAAATGGGCTTCACACATTGTACCCATGTCGGGAATCGAACCCAGGTCCTCGGCGTGACGAGCGAATGCTTTAACCACGTGGCTACCCGACCGCCCCTGGTTTGACAGGTTTGGATCGAAAATTGCTGAATGCGGTATTAAACAGTATTCGCTCCTTCACATCAGTTTGAAACATGTCAAGTAGCCTTTGTTGTATTAAGAAACAGGAAGAACGGGTCGAGTAGCGGCTATTTCGGTGCGCCGCCTTGTCACGTCACTGGAAGTGGTTAATACTTCCTCATTTGTGACTCTACTGCCAGTTGATCCCCACACTGGCAACTTCCGATCGCGACAGACACCAACACGGCGTGTGTGTGTAATTACTGGATCATACATGTATTTCAGTGACACTTCCTTCTCCGGTTTGAAGACACTTTGAACGTTTCGATTTGTTGGTTTTAGCGACTGACCAAACGATATTATAGATAATAAATAGTTCCGTTTTGTTCTTTCTACTCGACCGCGCCGTCCATGGTGGATTTGTTAGACATACAATTACAGAGTAACTGTTGACATTTTAATAATTAATTGATCACTGGCTTTGCATTTAGTCTCTGTCCCCTTTAACTTCAGAGTAACTGTAATGTTAAGAATTGAGGCTTTGCATTTAGTCTGTCCCCTTGTACATAAGGCGCAAAAAACAACTTTCTGATAAAAGTAAATATATAACTTAACTTTCAAAATAGTAAACGTCCTTCACTTTAACAAAACTAGCGATATTATCTTTCCAACTAAATTAACAGTCCCAAAAGCATTTTTCCCCTCCCTAAAATGTAAAAAAAAACTAATCAAAATTTTAAAAAGAGATACATACATGTATTTTTATAACACGTCGACCTACACCAAGTTAAATCACCATCAAAATAGACCCCCAGCTATCTTGATTGGTTGACTGCGTACCATCGTATTCCGACGCAATGGATCGTAGCTCATAGTATCAATCACTGGATTGTCTGGTCGGAAAAGTATGGTTATATGTCGTCGAAGAATGATGAATGCGGCGTTATACAACAACAAACTAACCAACCAAGCTTCGTATAATTCGTAAGCAATAAATTCCTGATTCCTTGGTGTCTTCGTGACAGTCAATTGCCACTGAGTATTTTCGTGGTGTCTTCCTCCATGTTGTGTTGGTGAAAGTCAATTGCCACTGAATGTCTTCTTGGCAACCATTGCCTCCAGAGATCATCTTACCTCTCTTCCGCATCCTTGGTGTCTTCGTGACAGTCAATTGCCACTGAATATGTTCTTGGCAAACATTGCCTCCAGAGATCATCTTAACTCTCTTCTGCATTCTTGGTGTCTTCGTGACAGTCAATTGCCACTGAGTATTTTCGTGGTGTCTTCCTCCATGGTGTCTTCGTGACAGTCAATTGCCACTGAATATCTCCTTGGCAACCATTACCTACAGAGATCATCTTAACTCTCTTCTGCATTCTTGGTGTCTTCGTGACAGTCAATTGCCACTGAATATCTTCTTGGCAACCATTACCTCCAGATATCATCTTACCTCTCTTCTGCATCCTTGGTGTCTTCGTGACAGTCAATTGCCGCTGAGTATTTTCGTGGTGTCTTCCTCCATGGTGTCTTCGTGACAGTCAATTGCCACTGAATATCTTCTTGGCAACCATTACCTCCAGATATCATCTTACCTCTCTTCTGCATCCTTGGTGTCTTCGTGACAGTCAATTGCCACTGGGTATTTTTGTGGTGTCTTCCTCCGTGGTGTCTTCGTGACAGTCAATTGCCACTGTATAGCTTCTTGGCAACCATTACCTACAGAGATCATTAACTCTCTTCTGCATCCTTGGTGTCTTCGTGACAGTCAATTGCCGCTGGGTATTTTCGTGGTGTCTTCCTCATGGTGTCTTCGTGACAGTCAATTGCCACTGAATATCTTCTTGGCAACCATTACCTACAGAGATCATCTTTACTATCTTCTGCATCCTTGGTGTCTTCGTGACAGTCAGTTGCCACTGAATATCTTCTTGGCAACCATTACCTCCAGATATCATCTTACCTCTCTTCTGCATCCTTGGTGTCTTCGTGACAGTCAATTTCCACTGAGTATTTTCGTGGTGTCTTCCTCCATGGTGTCTTCGTGACAGTCAATTGCCACTGAATAGCTTCTTGGCAACCATTACCTACAGAGATCACCTTTACTATCTTCGGCATCCTTTGTGTCTTCGTGACAGTCAGTTGCCACTGAGTATTTTCGTGGCAATCATTACCTCAAGAGGTATCTAAACCCTCTTCTGCCTCCAGGGTGACTTCGTGACAGTGAATTGCCACTGAATATCTTCTTGGCAAGCGTTACCTCCAGAGATCTTGTTCGACCTCTCCGGCCTCCGGGGTGACTTCGTGACAGTGAATTGCCACTGAATATCTTCTTGGCAAGCGTTACCTCCAAAGATCTTGTTCGACCTCTCCGGCCTCCAAGAGGTCATCGTGACAGTGAATTGCCACTGAATATCTTCTTGGCAAGCGTTACCTCCAAAGATCTTGTTCGACCTCTCCGGCCTCCAAGAGGTCATCGTGACAGTGAATTGCCACTGAATATCTTCTTGGCAAGCGTTACCTCCAGAGATCTTGTTCGAGCTCTCCGGCCTCCAGGGTGATTTCGTGACAGTGAATTGCCACTGAATATCTTCTTGGCAAGCGTTACCTCCAGAGATCTTGTTCGAGCTCTCCGGCCTCCAGGGTGATTTCGTGACAGTGAATTGCCACTGAATATCTTCTTGGCAAGCGTTACCTCCAGAGATCTTGTTCGACCTCTCCGGCCTCCAGGAGGTCATCGTGACAGTGAATTGCCACTGAATATCTTCTTGGCAAGCGTTACCTCCAGAGATCTTGTTCGACCTCTCCGGCCTCCAGGAGGTCATCGTGACATCAAGCACGTGTGTCCCGAAGGCTAACACCACAACATCCTATATACAGCAGTGTATCACCAGCCAGTGTCAGAACGTATATATCAGCAGTTCTGTGGAGCGTGGGGATATTAACATACAGGAAGTAGCCGGCTGTCATCCTATGACGTCCTATGAGTCCGTAATGGGCTGTACAGGAAGAGATCGTATATGGCGGTTAATGCGAGGGCAGCTGGACGCGTGGCGTGTGGAACGGTGGGATCCGACGGTGTGTTTTTCAGGGGGTTGTTAGGGAGGATGACGGATAGTGTTCCCGAATATCAGTTGCAGGATGAGGATGTCGAGGGATTATAAAGACCCATAACCGCCATGGAGTCATCATACCGTGTTCAGTCCACACACACAGCGACATATCTGCAGGGACGGGACTGTTTGTGTCGTTCTATTGAGCATCAAGGTATTGTTGGATTATTATTATTATTATTATTATTATTTATTTATAATTTTTGTTGTTGTTGCTATTATTTTTATTTTTATTATTATTATTATTATTATTATTATTATTATTATTATTATTATTATTATTTGAAAAATGCAACAAAGAGGGTTTGGGTGATCCTGGCACAGTCAGGCTGGTTTTCTTGACTTTACCTCTACCAGGAAGCTCTGCCCAGTCTGACCATCCCAGAACTTTTCGGAGAATGTGAAGACTCCTCAACACTGCAGCCTTCTGCATAACCCAGATTATTATTATTATTATTATTATTATTATTATTATTATTAACCAATTATTATTGGATACTACTCTACTTGTTATATTCCCATTCCTACACACCAAACTGATCCCTGACATGCAGTGGGGCAAGGGGTAGCCCAGTCGCAAGAACAGCGACATATTGCCATGATCCCGTGACCGTAGGTTCGAATCCCAACTCTCTTTGATTACGATGCTGGGTCTGGCAGTACCACACCCTTGCCCGTAGGACTTCTTATACGTGAGAGACTATGTTGTACGCCGATATTTCAAGCCATATTCCAGCAAGATCACGTCAGCGACATAAGCAATGGACTTCACACATTTACACCGATGAGGAACAACAAGAGATTCACACATCTCAGTGGGCTTGCGCTGTACAAGCTGCCACACATTGTGTCTCGAACGAGACGTTAAACCCCACCTCACCCCACCTCACCCCACCTCACCTCACCTCACCTCGCCCCGCCCCGCCCCGCCTCGCCTCGCCTCACCTCACCTCACCTCACCTCACCTCACCTCACCTCACCTCACCTAAATTGAGTGAGTGAGTATGGTTTTACATCGCTTTTAGCAATATTCCCGCATTATCACCAGAAATTGTACCCATGTGGGGAATCGAACCCTGGTCTTCGACGTGACGAGCGAACACTTTAACCACTAGGCTACCCCACCTCGCCAAAATAAATGCAGTATGATGTATCAAAGTAAACACAGTGCCCGAGTCTGGAAATAAAGATAATAGTGTGTATGGTTTTAAGCCGCTTTGAGCAATATTCCAGCAATATCACGGCGGGGGACACCAGAAATGGGCTTCACACATTGTACCCATGTGGGGAAGCGAACGCTGGTCTTCGACGTGACGAGCGAACACTTTAACCCCTAGGCTACCCGACCGCCCCTGATAAACTATCAAATCAATCAAGAAATATGGTAATATTCACCTTTAATCTCTACAATACTTCCTTTCTTACCAACAATGTAGTTGTTGAAAACAGTATTGGAACCAGCTCCCGTCACTTGTGCGGAACTTGTATACTGATCGCCTAGCTATTACTGATTTGACATTGATAAATCAGGAAGGATATATACGCAGTCACAAATACAATTTAAATTATTGTTTGCGAATATTCGAAAGAAATGGCTCTTTTCTACATAAGGAGATTTAAATATTTAATCAGTGCCTAGACTATGGGATTGTGTATCTGTTCCGGTTCACACAATGAAAAAAGTAAAGTACTTTTTTAACAACGGAAAGTATTTTTCCGGAATCTATAGGTGTATTCCTACTTACAATACCTGCGCTGTTTACAGAATTGCTGCTTATATATATATATAATTGACGCTTTTCCTGTTTCAGATGTTTCGTGTGCTTTTTTCACTCCTTTTGGCAACATTCGCTCTTGGTATGAAAACTGCCGGTAAAAGATGCGCATGCGCATCAGTCGATACTGAAATAGAAGTGAAATACGGATCAAGTGAAGACAACTTTGGCCTTCTGGAATCTCCGAATTGTCTCCCTTACCAAGGCCAACAGGAAGCCCTCATCGACGGCAGAATTTACGCCAACGTGTCCTACTACGGCCAGGTAAGTAAACGTGACCATCTGCATATTCTGTCAACTTGGAGTAAACTTAGATAAGACAAATATTATGATTTTTAGAATAGGAGGACCTACTGCAATGAGAGTGAGTTGGGTTTAACGTCGCCTTTAACAGTATTCTAGTTATATCGCGGCGTGTCAGCTTAATGTGGGAGGAAAGCCCGAAGTGATGCAGGTCTCAGACGTTTACCAATTCGGTGAAACCCACGAGCACGGGTATGGTGCTGACAAACCTAGAAACATAATCGGGGCGAACCGGGATTCGAACCCACAATCATAGCCCGTTTCTGGTGTCCCCCGCCGTGATATTTCTGGAATATTGCTAAAAGCGGCGTAAAACCATACTCATGATCACTCACTCACTCTAAATGTGGGAGGTGCGCACTACATATAGCATCTTATACTTGATGACTACGCTATTGGCTGAAGTTATTATGTATGCCTGAATATCGTTGCCAAAGAAAGCTTATAATATGCTGGTATATCTTGATAATATTGGAAAGAACACATGGGCTTCCCGTATACGCTTAACTCTTGTTAATTATGGTTTGGATTTATATGGATCTCGCAATCTATTGGTGACATTTAGATGTTTTTACAACAATTTTGCACTCGTGCTATAAACATCTTCAGACAGGATTGGCATTCTACACTTTCAGGAGGTCGAGATACGACATACATCGTAATATTAAGTCTCTCCTTGAACCAAAGTCGTATCTTTTAAATTTAAGATGCAAACACCTCCGCAACACATTTATATGCTTTAGACTTGGTCTCAATGATTTAAAAGTGAATAGAGGAAGAAATTTAAATATTGAAAAGTCACTAAGAATTTGCCCCGTCTGTAACCTTGGCGCTGAAGACGAATTTCAATTCATGTTTATTTGCCCTGTATATAACAAAATAAGAATGAAATATCATCTGGTCATCATATCTACTGATAATTTTGAATGTCTGCTGTCAAGCAAAAAGTACAGCGTTCAACTACAAGTATCGTTATACATTCATCATGCTTTTGTGTTACGTCAGTTGTTGTTGTCTTGATACTCCGTATACTCCAAGCCTATCAGTCCTTGTTTTAGCCCCTTAATACCGCCCGCCAGACAGGTTAACAACAAGTACCATCTGTTAACGTCTTTTGGTATGACGCGGCCGGGGATCGAACCCCGGACCTTCCGCTTTCCGGGCGGACGCTCTACCACTAGACCACGAATATGGGCCTATGGCCTTTCATGCAATAAACCATTGAATAGAACTGAATTGAATTGATTATACTGAACCTGGGTCATACGAATCCGTTTCCTTGATACGGAAAGACAATTTGTTAACCAGAAGCCTGTGAACGTGTGTTCGAATCCCGTTCTGCTATGATTATAACTTTCAATATGTTTGTCAGACCCATAACCGTGCTCGTGGGTTATACCGAAGTGGTAAACGTCTGAGACCTGGATTAATTCGGGCTTTTTTCTTACATTAAACTGGAATACTGAGTAGGATGTCCATCATGATAGGCGACATTGAATTAATGTCAGTGGGCTAACACTATAAAACCTGCGTATGTCCGAATCAGTACAAGAAGCCACACAAACACACACACACACACACACACACACACACACACACACACACACACGTTCACAATCTATCATTAAAGCGACGAGTTGTCTAGAATGAACTTCACTTCAAATTACTACATTCCAACATTTTACAAGAGCCAATACCTCCGGCCAAGTGTATGATGCATACACGTGCATTATGTTTTTTTAACTGGATTGTTCTGTGTTTTTACATATTCCAGCCCGCCTGGGTTCTAACCTCGGACATCTACATTAAAGATTGCTACGGTATGTGCAGACTTTTCCTTCCTTTGGCGTGCCATGATCCATTGTTCATGGGTTCGAATTCAGATTCGCCCTTATCATGTGTCTTAGTTAGCCGCGAGACTGTCATCGTGTCGGAGTTACGATTATCTTAGCACTGTGGTTATCGCAAGTATGGTTCAATTTGTGTCAGTTAAGATTATCTTAGCGCTGCGATTATCGCGCGTCTATCAATGTATAGAGGTTACGATTATCGCAAGTATGTGTTAATGTATGGGAGTTACGATTATCGTAGCGCTGCGATTATCGCTAGTCTGTGTTAATGTAGAGGTTACGATTATCGCTAGTCTGTGTCTATATATGGGAGGAACGATTATATTAGCGTTGCGATTATCGTTAGTCTGTCAATGCATGGGAGCTACGATTATCGGAAAGCGTGTGATTATCGCTAGTCTGTGTCAGTGAATGGGAGTTACGATTATCTTAGCGCTGCGATTATCGCACGTCTTTCAATGTTTAGGATTTACGATTATCGCAAGTATGTGTTAATGTATGGGAGTTACGATTAACTTCGCACGGCGATTAACTCAAGTATGTGTCAATGTATAGGAGTTAAGATCATTTTAGCGCTGCGATTATCGCACGTCTGTATCAATGTATAGGACTTACGATTATCTTAGCGCTGCGATAATCGCACGTCTGTGTCAATGTATGTCAGTTATAATTACTGTACATGGTATTCCTTGTTTGATATTCAGATTCATTTGACTGTGTCTGTGTCAAAGAAGATGTAGATGTGCATGAATCACATAACACGAGTGGTGTCCCCTTGGCGACCTTGACCTCAGGACAGTGCAGAAGAATTCGGGGAGACATTTTCAACTGCACTAACGGAACATTCGTACCTGTTCAACACGGGAGTGAGGTACGGAGTCTGGGTGTAACTGACGATGTTATTGACTGTGTTTATTAACTCATTAATTGTACACGCTTTTAATCAAACTGCATTCCTTCGTCACTCATATTGCTAATTTTTGTCACTGATGCGTCAAATCTGGAAATGTCCTCCGCATGTCTACCATAGAACTGTTTGAGAACTTATGAGTGAGTGAGTATGGTTTCACGCCGCTTTGAGCAATATTCCAGCAATATCACGGCGGGGGACACCAGAAATGGGCTTCACACATTGTACCCATGTCAGGAATCGAACCCGGGTCTTCGGCGTGACGAGCGAACGCTTAAACCACCGGGCTACCCTACCGCCCCTTGAGAACATATGAGGCCTTGCATGTTGTTACCTTGATGAAACAACTTTTGAGCAAGAGTCGTATGACGCTCTTTGACATCCGCGAAGAACGAGCATGCTCGGGTGCACCTCTAGAGCTGCTGGAATATTGCTCGACACAAAGGGACAGTTGAATATTGGAAAGTTAAAGTCATCTGAAACAATAACTTCACCCAGAATCATTAAATAAACCTGTCTACTCTTTGGAGTAAAAATACCAAAAGAGACTGGGCTCAATAGAGTAAAATATGGTGAATACCCAAAGAAAACTGTCCATACCAAAATTAAAGTGAGTAAATATTCAGTGGTAGAAAAAGTTATCTGGAACCCCGAGACTTGAATATTGCAGCGTAAAAGATAAGTTACTCATTTCCCTCTTCCGTATGTCGGGGGGGGGGGGGGGGGGGGGGGGGCGGGGGGGGGCACGGGGGGCACAGTCGTCTAAGGCGCCGCGATTCGCTGTGCAGAGTTGCGTCCCTTGGGCACGCCAGAAACCTAGGATTGTGGGTTCGAATCCCGGTTCGCCCCGATTATGTTTCTAGGTTTGTCAGCACCATACCCGTGCTCGTGGGTTTCACCGAAGTTGTAAACGTCTTAGACCTGCATCACTTCGGTCTTTCCTCCCACATTAAGCTGACACGCCGCGATATAACTGTAATACTGTTAAAAGCTAACTCACTCACTCACTCACTCACTCACTCACTTCCGTATGTCGTTTTTTGACGCTATATGTTAGAACAAGCATGGACAGATGACTGCCCTTTTCTAAGACACCCTCATAAGAACCAGGATGCAATTGGTCGCTGTTAACCTTTGCTTGTAAGATGTGTAAATCGCTGTATAACAGAATAACGTGTCCCACTACCGTTTCACTAACATGATATGGGAATTGTGTCAATAATGAAAAAGCATAAATCCATTTGTTAAACCTATTCAGATTGGTTGGATCATGAAGGGGGAGATAACTTTCCACAAAGAATGCCAGCCCGACAGTCATCTCGCGGGTTGTCCAGTCCTCATCACCCGTTCCGAGTGGGGGGCACGCCCTGCGCGTCTGGGGGTCGGGACTCTGGTGAAAACACCTGACTACGTCATCATCCACCATGGAGCTTCGGGTGGTTGCAACACCAAAGAAGACTGCGTCAAAATGATGCAAAGCTACCAGAACTTCCATCTGGATGGACGCGGTAAGGGCTTGTACGAAACAAAGGGTTTGGTTTGGTTTGGTTTGTTGTTTAACGCCGCACTCAGCAATATTCCAGCTATATGACGGCGGTCTGTAAATAATCGAGTCTGGACCAGACAATCCAGTGTTTAACATCATGAGCATCGATCAATGCAATTGGGCTCGATGACATGTATCAACCAAGTCAGCGAGCCTGACCACCCGATCCCTATAGTCGCCTCTTACGACAAGCATAGTCGCCTTTTACGGCATGTATGGGTTGCTGAAGACCTATTCTACCCCGGAATCTTCACGGGTCTAAGGGATGTCATTGATATGATACAACTTATTTACCCGGCTGATCACTGAGCCCCCGTGAAGCCATTAAATTAAATGAGCAATTAATTAAATTATCTGTCATCGTAAAACGCGCTTTTACCCATCACGCGTGGACCATCTTGTATGAGATTTGTACCAATAATTGACTTGTCGGTGTCTCAAAGTGTTAGTTTGAAAACGTCAAACATGATATTCGTGTTTGTCATTGACAGAGGTGGCACATGTATTTTTCTGACGCTAACCGTTTTCTCTAATTTAACTAATTAGGAGGTTTTAAATTGGAATATATCACAGTATGTACATGTACAAAGACAAAGATATATAGGCACAGTTTTGTTCTTGACCTTATAAAAAATACCACATACCTTTAGCATTTAGACGTTTTCTTTGGCTCAGGTAAGGAATCTACATAGCTGTCCACCAAAATAAAAGAATAAAAGTACCGAGTCTAATTTAAGTAATAAAATTAATTAAATTTAATTTCATGTCATCTCCCCAACTAACTTGTCCTCAGTTCATAACTTGGTATAAATGTATGATGGTTGTATATTTCTATATCCACCACATTGATTTTGAGTCCCGTGAAGATCCGAGGTAGAATAGGTCTTCAGCAACCCATGCTTGCCGTAAAAGGCGATTATGCTTGTCGTACGAGGCGACTAACGGGATCGGGTGGTCATATGATCAGACTCGCTGACTTGGTTGATGCATGTCATCGTATCCCATTTGCGAAGATCGATGCTCATGATGTCAATCACTGGATCGTCTTGTCCAGACTCGATTATTTACAGACCGCCGTCATATAGCTGGAATATTGCTGAGTGCGGCGTTAAATAACAAACAAACGAACAGACAAACAAACAGTGATTTCGATGCAAGCCCAAGAGGGTTTCGTTCACATTTCCGGGTCATAAATATTTCCTGCCCTACATGTCACACCAGTAGTGATTTGTAAATGATGATGGTGTTTGTTCATTTGCAGGCTGGTCTGACATCGGCTACAACTTCGCCATCGGCGATGACGGCAACGTGTACGAGGGGCGAGGCTGGGACGCTGTGGGGGCACACACTGGGGGCTGCAACAGTAAATCTATCGGTAAGCGGCGAAAACAAAATAAAATATTCTTTTAGACCTTATATTGGAAGCACTTATCTCCTCTTGAAAAATTAGGGATATATTTTATAAGAGAGCAGATATGACTGTTTCTTATAGACAAATATATACCCGGACAGTTACCTCATAGTTTAAGGCGCAATGACTAGTGAGAACAGGGTTGCGTCCCTTCCCTGTCGGGATCCGCTTGCACGCTCCTTGGCCTGTGTGCTCGTTTGTTTCACCACAGTGACAGACGTTTTACGAGCGCTCCCAGTTCCGCTGATTTCGAACAAGCTGAGTTTGTGTGTTCCTGAGTTCCCGGTCATACCTCATTCACTCTTACTTCGTCAGACCGCCTCCGTGGTCTAAAGGTAGAGCGTCCGCCGGGAAGGGGAAGGTCGTGGGTTCGATCCCCGGCCGCGTCATATCAAAAGACGTTAAAAGATGTTACGTGTTGTTACCTTCCTGGCGCTCGGCATTAAGTGGCTGAAACAAGAAGAAAAAACGCGGAGTCAGTATAGATGTATTTATGATAAACTGTGGCATGGTATTTCAGTGGGCCAGCACTGTAAAATCGGCATTTGTCCGGACTAGTACAAGCAGCCACACGTGCATGCACGTCGCTATATAAGTGCAATAATCTTGGACGCGACGTTAAACCCCATTTCACCATCTCACCCAATCTTACTTCCTATAAATAGGCCTACAGACGTAACACGCATTCATTTTATCTGTCCAAATATTGTCAGTCCGTGCAGATATGTTTTTTTGTCACCAGGAATTGCTTTCATCGGCAATTTTAACAACCGGGAGCCCAGCGAGGCAGCACTTGACGCCTTGAAGAAGATGCTAGAATGCAGCGTGCGTAACGGCAAACTGATGACGTCGTTCAGGCTGCTTGGTCGTCGAGACGTGACGATGCGTTTTTGGTCGGAATCTCCTGGAGACAAGCTGTATGCCATCATCCAGAAGTGGAAGCATTACAATGCCACTGACGCTTGTGCCTAAACCACTTTTAAAAGTTCAGCTGTTGAAATGGCTTGCTTTTTGTGCTGTTCCTCAAATTAATGACATTGTTATATCCCCCGTTGATGATTCTGAATGTCATGGCAAGGACACTGACAAGTGAGTGAGTTTGGTTAAACGTTTTTAACATTTATACCATAGCGTGACAGTTGGATGGGGAAAGCCCCCAGTGATGCAGGTCGTACACGTTTGACTTGTGAAAACTCACGTGCACGGGTATAGCGCTGACAAGTGTAGAAACAGAATCTACTTTCTACTTTGGGTTTAACGCCGCTTTGTAAAGCATTCCAGTTATATCACGGCGTGTCAGCGGTGTTAGTGGGAAAACCCGAAGCGATGTGGGTCTCAGACGTTTACCACTTTCGGTAAAATCCACGAGCACGGGCATGGTGCTGACAAACCTAGACACAGAATCAGGGGAATTGGGATTCGATCCCACAATCATAGGTTTCTGGCACACACAAGGGACGTAACTCTGCATAACTAATAGTTAAGCCATAGGTACCTGAGGATAATAGCAACCACTACGGTGATGGCGAGGGACAGTAAGTTGCCAGTTGCCAGGCTGACGCCAGTAATGTCTATAAATACGACTGTTAGAAAAAAATGAAGAAATAATCGAGAGAAATAATATCTTTAAGGGAATTTATGGCACAAAAGAGGTGTACAGAGTACCTAGATGAGGGTGGGGCGCAGGGATGCTGGGATCCTGGGATGCGCGCGCATACACACACACACGCTAACACACACACACCCACACACACACACACAGAACCTGTGGGTATATATTTGAACAACCTGTTACTAAATCTTTTTTGCACTCATATCTTGAACAAAACTCATAATTTGATGGCCTAATTTTGGCTAATAAACCCGAATTATGTGCCCAAAGAGCGTTGTGCCCATTCCTTTCTTCTTATTTGACCAGCGAATATTGCATGAACTAAAGTCAGCTGGACTATGAGCGTGTTGTGTATTTACTCTTGTTAAACAGATGTGCTTCTCATGCACCAACAGACTTTGTTTGATATATATTCCTCTGCTTTATGTGTTTACAATAAACAACTCTCAGCCTTTATCCGGTTTGCATTGAATCTAGTTTGTTTGTTTATTGACGCCTCAATATTGATATCACGGCGGTCTGTAAATAATCGCGTCTGGACCAGACAATCCAGTGATTGACATCTTGAGCTTTGTCCTACGCAATTGCGATTCGATTACATGCATCAACCAAGTCAGCGAGCCTGACCACACGACAAGCATGGGTTGCTGGAGGACAAATTCTAACTCGGAATCGTCACGGGATTGGTGCAACATTGATGTTTTACATAGCTGCTGGGGGCGGGGCATTCAATAGAAAATCAAGGGGGTGAGGGTTGGGAGTTGGGGGTAATATTGAGATAAATTGTGTTTTCAGTCAAGCTTCAATACACACTTTTTTAAATTATCTAACAATGGTGATGTATGAGTGAGTGAGTGAGTTTGGTTTTACGCCGCTTTTAGCAATATTCCAGCAATATCACGGCGGGGGACACCAGAAATGGGCTCCACACATTGTACCCATGTCGGGATTCGAACCCGGGTCTTCAGCGTGACGAGCGAACGCTTTAACCACTAGGCTACCCGACCGCCCCTGGTGATGTATGAATTGTTTGATAGGCATTACTTAGAAGGATGCCGGATGTCAAAGTAGCCTTGCTTGACAACGGTCTAATGATCTGTTCCGAAACGTCGCCTTTACAGTTTATAAAGAAGTAGCTATCCATACATTGTGTGTACTTTGTCATTTGTGATGTATATTTTATATTGATATTACTTTTTCCAAGATTTTATAAATGATATTTTTATCGAACAGTTTACTTTTGATTTATTAAAAATGTTTAATTATTTTCCACACCATTTTGCACATTGACTTTATACTCAAATTCAAAGATACCTCTATAATTTATTACTTATTTTAATATTTATATATTTTTATCAAATTAATTCATTTTTCATTATCAATATATTTGTTGCTTTAATTCCATGTAACCGAAATATATAACATGCATACGTGTTTTTTTTTTAAAATATTGTATTAATAATGTTTCAACCCTTCCATTTAAATTCCATTGATAAACCACTGTATTCATTTAATTTAATACTTATTTATGTTTATCAAGCGTATTAAGTGTTCTCTATCAATGTGGGCATTCATATTTATATTTATTACATTCCGTGTAACGGTGCACATGTATACAGTGGAAATGCAAGCATTTACATATAACGCGGCCAGGCGACTTCGCCCGCGAGGAAAGGTAGAGTTCCCTCCCTTTTAGCTGTGTTGGCCTCCACGCGCTGAGGATGGCTGGAGCTGTGCGGACACGCGTTGCTGTGGTAAGTAGAGCGAGTACGCCCCGACTGTGTGCTCATTTTAGATGTGTGAATAGATCCCAGTCAGGCACACGCACGTAACAGTTCAGTTCACGGGTGGAATGTCTCATTTCAAGCATCGGGGAAAAGATTATGCGGGCAGTTACATTTCCGGGTTGATACTAAATGTAGGAATCGAATTTCGTTCCGCTTTCCGACCTCTATTCATGTCATGTGATCAGGTCATCTGTCCACACATGACACCACTGCCACATGCTAATTTGCATATCATGTGACCGGACTTTTCCTCGTTTGTAATTAAACTCGCTTATTTTGAAATCAGAACGGATTAGCCCAATGCAAGTATTTTATGGCGCTTTGCACATTGTTTTGCAAAATTATGTCGACGTGCTTCGAGTACTCGTACTTCAACTGCGACCGTGAGGTGCATGACAATACATATTTACACATCAAAGTGACGTATCTCTAGCTCTCCGTAGGGCTTCGATGACAGCACGTGGAGCCGTACAACCAATATAAACATAGGATAACTACCCATATGGAAATAGTTTGTCACGTTTTTGGATATTTCTCAATGAAAGTTTACCTTTCTGTAACATATGTTTGTCTACATATGTAGACTTGTCAAAACTGAAACAGATGAAAATCATATGCAATATCTTGAATGGATCGTGTGAGGTCTGACGAATCGTCACATGGCGCTGGCCTGTGACAGAAGGACTTTGCTGACGGCATGGAATTCTGGGTAGGAGAGTGGACGCCTATCATGTTTGTGTTGTTTCACTCGTGGGTTTCACAGTATGCATTCACCACCATGGTCATTCCCATTCAAATTCAAACCCTGGTTCTCCCTGATTAATGCCACATGACATAAACTTAGTCAGTGACAGAATGTTATTTTATCTGCAATTTAGCCTCTCCCCCAAGTCAAGAGAGTTAACTGACTTTTATAAAAGTCCAGTTTCCACCCTTGCCGAACTAGGCTGGTATTATGGAGTTACAGTTTGGCTGGACTAACGAGTCTATGCATAGTCCAATCAAATTCGCGCAATGAAATCGAAACCCGGTTCGTAAACTGTCGTGCAGATTTCGGTCGATTGCAGGATTTGCAAAGCATGTGCACTGCCAACTCGTTGTCAACAGATATTTTCCCAATCTTTTCATATTTTTAATCAAGGTGCTCGTGTGGTGTGATGCACTTCGCGATGTAAGACCCGTTTTATAGATCTTGATAATCGATCAGATCGTCTTGACAGGGCGCCGCCATTTTGTTTGAAACAAATGCAAGTGATACGAGAGGTGGAATCTGATTGGTCCATAGGAGAGGCTTAGAAGGGACATAACACTTAATAACCACTGGAGGCGCTACGATCGAGCCCAGGAATTCCAGCCTAGTTCGGCAAGGGTGGAAACTGGACTTTTAAGGTCAGTTAACTCTCTTGCCTCGGGAAGATGGCAATTTTCCGGTAATCACGGGGGCGGTCAGGTAGCCTAGTGGTTGAAGCGTTCGCTCGTCACGCCGAAGACCCAGGTTCGATTCCCGACATGGGTTTGTTGGTTGGTTTATTGTTTTACGCAGCACTCAGCAATATTCCAGCTATATGACGACGGTCTGTAAATAATCGAGCCTGGACCAGACAATCCAGTAATTAATATCATGAGCATCGATCCACGCAATTGGGATCGATGACAAGGATAGTCACCTTTTACGGCAAGCATGGGTTGCCGAGGACCTATTATACCCTGGAATCTTTACGGGTCTGGGTACAATGTGTGAAGCCCATTTCTGGTGTCCCCCGCCATGATATTGCTGGAATATTGCTTAAAAACGGCGTAAAACATCTTCACTCACTCACCAGCAATCACGACAGCCTGTATGTAGTCGACTTTGAGTCAGTAGACAAACTCGTGGTTGATGGCATCGATCCACCCACTGGGTACGATGACATACAGTCTGCCTCGTCACACATTGTAGTGAGTGAGTGAGTGAGTCTTCAGCAACCGATACTTGCCGTAAAAGGCGACTATGCTTGTCGTAAAGGCGACTAACGGGATCGGGTGGTCAGGCTCGCTGACTTGGTTGATACATGTCATCGATCCCAATTGCGTAGATCGATGCTCATGATGTCAGTCACTGGATTGTCTGCTCCAGACTCGATTATTTTACAGACCGTCGTCATATAGCTGGAATATTGCTAAGTGCGGCGTTAAACAACAAACAAACAAACAAACTCAGTTGTGCATTATCTGTGTATCCAAACTGAACTGTTTGAGTAGGCGTAGTTTACTTTAAGTAAATCTCTTTGAATAACATTCGTTTGTTTGTTTGTTTGCACTCAGCAATATTTCAGTTACATGACGGTGGTCTGTATATAATCAAGTCTGGACCAGACATTTCAGTGATTAATATCATGAGCATCGATCCTCGCAATTGACCGATGACATGCATCAACCAAGTCAGCGATCCTGGACACCCGATCCCATTAGTCACCTTTTACGACAATCATAGACGCCTTTTACGGCAAGCATGGGTTTCTGAAGACTAATTCTAACCCGGATCTTCACGGAAAGCATACTCGCCTCGTCCGAACTCTTTAAGTTTGTTCAGTTAATTCTTAAATATTCTTTTTCTTTTAATTATCATCGTCATTTAATAACATTGCTATTCTCAACATCAATTTCGCTATTTTTATGCTATAAATTGCAAGTAAGTTGCAAGTGATTCCAAGTCATTTAACTTGCTAACATTAGGCCACACCCACTACGTACTGGACTACTGCTTCCTTATTGGCTGATAATAGAGTAGGCGTGTCTTAATTGTGTTCCATTATTACGCTGAACACTGACACTGGTATCAACCATGGTCACTCGAACTTGTGCGTTAGCCATTTTGACCATAGATAAATGTTGTTGTTGTTGCATTAGGTGTTTAAGAGGTCGCCTTCTGCCTAGGCAATTTCGGCTGACCTGTCCCTCTTTGGGACTCCTGTGTGTGAGAAGGGTTCACATATCTATTGTGAGTTCGGTGTTCACATAATTTCTGTTTTTGCATTGATATGATTTCTATTTTCATATATTGATATGATTTCATTTTTATCCTTGGCTGCTCTGTTTATATACGTTCGAGCAGCTGTCCATCTCTCAGAAATAGAGTTAGTTTGGCCTTCGCTATTGCATCTCTTGGCTTTAGGAGATTTATTACATCTATAGATAAATAAGTTGCACTCTTTATATATACCATCAAATCGTACTGTATGTATTCTTAAGAAACGACTCTCCTCTAAACTCATCGGTATCATAACCCATATCAACTAAGAAACTAATTGTTCAATTAAGAAACTGATCATCTCTTCTCCTGTGTTTAAACATCCAACTGTATTATTTTTTACGAAACGACTTTCTAGTAAATCTCCTCTCCTCTCCTCTCCTCTCCTCTGTTGGATCAGCACGGGCGCTAATCTAAACTACGGTAATCCGGTGTTTTTATAGCAATTACTCATTTCTCGCCTTCGTAGTACAAATTCCCCAACTTGGGTTTGCGCTTTACTGATACTAGGGAAAATTGGATTTTCGCTAACCAGGCACGACACCGATATCATTTTGTTATCTTCTGTGTTTTGTGTTTCTGACTAAATATGCTCTATGTGAAGTTATCATTGTCGACTAATTTATTCGTATGAATTGAATACGCGGACTTTAGTTCACACAAGTGTTTACGTATATACCCCCATCGTTATAATTGGGTTGTATTTATATTTATACCTCCACAAAAGCAAAAAAAATATTTAAGTTAATTCATAATTATTATTATTTTTCTTTTTATTATCATCGTCATTTATATATATTATTATTCACAGCACTGTTATCATCATACTTATTTTATATGATTTATAAATACATTGCATTGAAATACATTGATACCAAGTCATTTCATTGGCCCCAGCGCCCCGTTCCATATTAAAATAAGAGGTATCGAATCTATAGAGGGAGCCACCTGCATCCTCAAACTGGCTTCCAAGATAATGAAATACAAAGGAACAAAGAAACAGTTCCTAAATAGGGTATGCCCTAAAACTCAATAAGCGCTCATCTATAAAGAATCATGGTCTTGCTTTTACTACAGTGGAACTCAAATGGCCTTAAGAGCCACGGCAATGAACTGACTGCACTCGTCAAAAAACAGGTGATGAAGCCTCATGTCATTCTAATACAGGAGACTAAACTCAGTGAAAAAGCCAAATTCACACTACCTGGGTACACCCAATATAGAAAAGACAGAAAAAGACTTATGCCTGGCAACAAGGGAGGAGGACTTATCACCCTTGTCCACGAAAGCTGTACCTCCAAAAATATCGAATTACACGTAGGAAACCTTGAAACCCAAGTAATCTCCCTAAAACTGGAAAATGGCAATGAATTACGCATAGCTATCATATATCACAGGGTTACCCATGAAACGAACATGGAAGAGCTAACAAGACTAGCTCAAATAGTAGGCAAAAATGGGATAATCCTTGGTGACTTTAATGCCCACAGCCCTCTTTGGGAAGACAGGAACGATTCATGCAAATACGGCAAAATGGTAGAGAAATGGGTTGAGGACGACAATCTCATAACTCTGAACAACGGCAGTCACACACGTTATGACCAAGTCCACAACACATGGAGTTCAATTGATCTCACAATTGCCACCAAAAACCTCGCCTCACATTGCCAATGGCAAGTCCATGACGACACTTGGGGAAGCGATCACCTTCCTACACTCACCTACATAGGTAGCCAACACAATTAGAGGAACAGCCCAATCCTCAGCCCACATGGGACTATGCAAAGGCTGATTGGCCTAAATTCAGGAAGGAATGTATGTCATTCAAGTCCTCAGAAATTGCCTCGGATAATCCTGATCTTTTTTGCCAAATTCTCATCTCAGCAATTATTGCCGCAGCTGAAAAATCAATTCCAAAAAAAGACCACAAAACTGGCAAAACTCCGGTACCATGGTGGAACAGGGAAATAGTAAAAGCTAGGAGAGTGAGAAAGAAAGCCCCAAATAGGTCAAAAAGGGATAAATCAGCCTTCGCCAAAGTCCGAGCAGCAAGGACAAAAGTAAGACAACTCATGACAATTCTAAAAAAGAGTCATGGCAGACCTTCTGCAAATCCCTCAATGAGAAAACAAATGCTAAAACAGTCTGGAGCAAATTACACGCAATCAGGGGTAAACGTAAACCCACAAAAATGCCCAAGTTAGCCAACGCCCATACAGTCAAAGAAAAGGCCAACATTCTAGCTGAGCACTTCTCATCTGTCAGCAGCAACACAAATTGCAGCGAAGAATTCAAACAGGAAAAAATGCTTATGCTTAAGATCTCAAAACGGCCGCAAAGCCAGCATCTGGTATACAATATACCATTTACTGTGACAGAGTTTGATGATGCGATACAACATAGAAAAGGCACAGCACCTGGTCTTGACACAACCAGCTACGAGATATTGAAAAACCTACCTGATCAAACCAAAGGCTTACTCACTGAGTTGTATAACACGATATGGTCCAAAGGAGAAGACCCAAAAGCATGGAAACATGCTGCAGTTATCCCGCTGCTAAAGCAAGGGAAAGACGAAGCCCTACCAAACTCTTATCGACCGATCTCACTCACCTCAAACATGTGCAAAGCCATGGAAGCCATGGCTCCGAAAAGGCTCATGCATCACCTTGAAACTGGCAACCACATAAAACCTGACCAAAGTGGCTTTAGGAAGGGACACTCGTGTCTAGATCATATTCTAAGACTGGAAAATGAAATAAAAAAAGCGCAATTAAACAGACAATACCTAGCCGCAGTATTTCTGGACTTCAGCAAAGCCTTCGACATGGTGTGGCATGACGGACTCCTCTCAAAACTAGCACAAAATTGAGTAGAAGGGAACATGGCAAACTTCATAGACAGCTTCCTGCAAGACAGGTCGCTATCAGTTAAAATAGGGAACAATCGATCTGATCCTATGGCACTGGACAATGGCACGCCACAAGGCAGCATTAAAAGCCCAACCCTGTTCAATATCATGATCAACGATCATTTTGACCATGTCAGCTCTCCTACCCAAACTTCTAAATTCGCTGATGACGGAGCAATATGGGTAAAGCACAGAGATATTTCACAAATCAGAAAAAAACTCCAGTCAGCCCTGGACGGAGTAGATCAATGGTGCAATAAATGGGGATTCACCCTTTCAAGTGAAAAAACTGTTGGAGTTCTATTCAAACGCCGGGGGAAAGATGCTATGATACCCCGTGTCTCCATAAAGGGCAAACCTATCAAATTCGAAAAATCTACAATATTTCTTGGGGTGATCCTTGATCAACACCTCACTTGGCGCAAACATAGAATATGTCGAAAACAGATGTCAAAAAGACCTGAACGTATTACGGGCAATTTCAGGCACATCTTGGGGCACATCGAGGGACACTCAGCTGGACCTCTACAAATCTCTTATCAGATCAAAAATTGACTATGGTTGTGAGGCTTTTCATTCAACATCAAATACTGTCTTGAGGCGCCTAGACAGAATACAATACAAAGCCCTAATGCTGGCCACAGGCGCAGCAACAGGCACCCCACTAGAAGCACTACAAGTAGAAACGGGAGAACTCCCATTGAAACTAAGAAGAGAGCAGGCAATATTATCGTTCTGGGGACGAACATCAAACCCTTTGGTTAAAAAGATATGGCAAGACAAAAACACTCGAGATGAAGCCCTAGCTCGAAAAAATCCCTCACTAAAGCCATCTGTGATATTAGTACGTGAACTATTTCGAAGTCACAATTGTGATGACATTCAGCCTCCAGAAAGTCACTACAATGGGTTACACCCTCCCTGGACTTTAAAAACTCCCAAAGTTGACACTGCTTTAACATCAGAAGTCACTAAAAAAGAAAACCCAACCCTAATACGATCAGTAGCTATCACTAAAATTCAAACTACCTGGGACAGCTGGGCCCATATATACACTGATGGATCCATGAATCCTATCAACAACAGTGCTGGTTACGGGATCCATATACACACCTCCAAACCCCAAGCACATTCAGTTCGCATGCCTGATGGTCAGTCAGTATTCACGGCTGAATTGGAGGCAATTCATCATGCACTCAAACTCCTTCCCGAACTTCCGGAAGCAAAGGCAGTCGTCCTATCAGACTCGCTAAGTGCACTCCAGGCCAAACACAGTCAACAATATTCTATACGAATATACAAAACTATCGGACCAAGGGCAACAGGTGGAGCTGTGTTGGATCCCCTCTCACATAGATATTTATGGAAATGAAAAAGCAGACTCACTGGCGAAGCTAGCTCTAGACAAAGCGGATATACAGCCTATTCCCTTCAGTAAACTAGAGATGAAAAGCAAAATCAAAGCCTCCATAGCAGAAAGATGGCAAGCCCAATGGGACGCAAGTAAGATCGGCAGATGGCTATACAAAATTCAACCCAAGGTCCAACAAAAGCCAAACTCATACTCAAATGAAAGGAAAATTGAAATTGCTATCTCACGCCTCAGACTCGGTCACAAAAAGCACTATGACAAGGTTTGTTCATCTTGCAATCAGGCAGAAACCATTGATCACGTGTTACTAGAATGTCCAGACCATGCCCAAGCCCGGGCTAGGTTAAAACAAGAATTGCAGTTAGATCCGCTATCTGTCATAGATCTCCTAAAGCCAAGAGATGCAATAGCGAAGGCAAAACTAACTCTATTTCTGAGAGATGGACAGCTACTCGAACGTATATAAACAGAGCAGCCAAGGATAGAAATGAAATCATATCAATATAAGAAAATAGAAATCATATCAATACAAAAACAGAAATTATGTGAACACCAAACTCACAATAGATAGGTGTACCCTTCTCACACACAGGAGTCCCAAAGAGGGACAGGTCAGCCAAAATTGCCTAGGCAGAAGGCGACCTCCTAAACACTTAATGCAACAACAACAACTAGTACTATAGAGGGACTACATAAAATTACAAAACACAGTAGGTTTATCTCATAAATGACTTACCCGTGAAGATCCGTGGTAGAATAGTTCTTCAGCAACCCAGGCTCGCTGACTTGGTTGATGCATATCACTCGATTATTTACAGACCGCCATGTTACTGGAATATTGCTGAGTGAGGCGCTAAAAAACAAACCAACCCACTAACCAACCTAATTGACAACGCGGATGTACACATTGTTCAAGCCGGTTTCTACGTCTATACATCTTTTCTTATTGTTGTTATTGTTGTTGTTTTTTCAGGTAACCGGGGGTAACAAAGGTATTGGATTCGAGGTGGTGAAGTCCCTGTGTCGACTCTTTCCAGGCGATGTTTTGTTGACTGGTAGGAAAATCGTTTTCATGTAATGTTTTTTCATGCCGTCTTTACCTCATTTGTAAGCAAATATATGTAGAGGTCACTTAATAGAGGTCAGGCGAAATGGGGTTTAACGTCGCGTTCAAGATTATTGCATTTATATTGCGACGTGCATGTGTGTGGCTGCTTGTACTTATCCGGACTAATGTCGATTTCATAGTGCTAGCTCACTGAGATACCATGTCGCAGTTTAACATGAATACCCCACTCAGACACAGTATACTGACTCAGAGCCGACCAGTCCTTATTTTAGCCCCTTAATGCCGAGCGCCAGACAAGGTAACAACAAGAAGTACCATCTTTTTACGTCTTTTGGTACGACGCGGTTGGGCATCGAACCCCGGACCTTCGGCTCTCCGGGCAAAAAGACTCCCGGGAGTTCATAAATACAGTGCAGTCAATAAACCATGTCTTTCTCAGTTTGGTAAGATCGTGAGAATATCAATTGGCGTACGTGTTTGCCATGTGCAGCGGCCATGAGGTGGAAGTACCAATAACCGGAAGTTTCTGGCCGCTGCAAGTGGCAAACACGTACGCCAGTTGATATTCTCACGATGTTACCAAACTGAAAAAGACATGTTTTGTTGACTGCACTGTATTTTTAAACTGCCAGACGTCTGATGAGACCTCCCGGACGTTTCATGACGTCTGATGCAACCTCCCGGACGTTTCCGGACGTCTGATGCAACCTCCCGGACGTTTCCGGACGTCTGATGCAACCTCCCGGACGCTCCCACCAGATGCTCCCCGACGTTGCCCGGACGCTATATAGTACCGGACGTTTTACACTAAGTGAACCATCTGGAGCCACGCATGAGCTTTTGTAAACGTCTGTGTTTCAGTATTAGTTATGGAATAGTATACAGAATATGACACTATAAAAGAACATTATTTTTGTTCCATAAGCAAATTTACATTGTATCCTTTAAAGCATACGTTAAAAGAATAGGGGTGTATATAATATTTTTCCAGCTATATGTTGTTTTGTATAATTAATACAAGAACACAATTATAAAGAATAACTTTATTATTTAGTATCATTTTCCCGGACGCCCCCGGGCGTTTTTTAGTAGGACCGGTGTTCGTTTCTCAACTGATCACTTAGATTGTTTCAGGTGTTTCGCATAGGTGGCATGTCTCAAAGGTCGGCCGAGAAAGCCCACGTGACAACTATTTTCATAACGTCCTCGGTTCCTAAAAAAATCCATTGAGTTAGTGAGTGAGTATGGCTTTACGCCGCTTTTAGCAATATTCCAGCAATATCACGGCGGGGGACACCAGAAATGGGCTTCACACATTGTGCCCATGTCGGGAATCGAACCCGGGTCTTCGGCGTGACGAGCGAACGCTTTAACCACTAGGCTACCCGACCGCCCCCATTGACAATGAGCAATCATCAATATATTATCGGTTAACCGGGTCTCCTCCCATTAGTAAGACAGCCCAGTTGTGAGACACCTTAAAACAACAATGTCATACCTGGTTGCACATGTCAATCAGGTAATTAACCCCTATCATAAAAATGGACTTGTCATATTATAGACAAAAGAAATGACTCAAGCTGCTTGATACCCTCTTTTACTTTATTTCATTCAACATTTTATTTCATCCATCCCTTAAATCCATTGTTTTAACACATTCGCCACTTAGAGTTCAGTTAAAGTTAATATCACAGTTCACACCACAGTCCTCACACCGCTCTGGTATAAAGATGGCAACTTTTGTCTGCAGCAAGGAACGAGAGCCTGGGTCGAGCAGCGGTGGCTAGCCTGGAACAGACTGGCCTGAAACCACAGTTCTTCCAACTAGACATCACTGACCAAACCAGCATCGCGTCCTTGGCTGCGCACCTGTCACACAAATATGGCGGACTGGACGTCCTCGTCAACAACGCCGGCATCATGTTCGGGGTACGACATTGATGATACGTCTCTATGTATAATTTGGGGCCATTGGCGCCGTTAGGAGTTGCGTCTCTCACGTGTGCCAGATACCCGTGAAGATCCGGGGTAGAATAGATCTTCAGCAACCCATGCTTGCCGTAAAACGCGACTATGCTTGTCGTAAAAGGCGACTAACGGGATCGGGTGGTCAGATTCGCTGACTTGGTTGATTCCTGTCATCGATCTCAATTGCGTGGATCGACGCTCATGACATTAATCACTTGATTGTTTGGTCCAAACTCGCTTATTTACAGACCGCCCTCATATAGCTGGAATATTGCTGAGCGCGGCGTTAAAAAAACAACAAACAAACAAAGCCTTTTGCGCCTCGTGGAACAGAGGGGTAGAATCGAGGTTGATATTATCTGGCTTTGACGTTTTCTATATTTCCAGAGGTCATCAACGGCTACCTTTGAAGAACAGGTCAAGGCCACTATGAAGGTCAACTTCTGGGCCAATCTTAACGTCTGCAAAACGTTCTTCCCGCTTCTCCATCCCCATTCAAGGTAACGTACCGTGTTTGTTTTGTTTGGGTTTTTTTTCTACTCAGTCAGTAATTTTCAAACTTTATCATGGCGGAATATTCAAGTCTTTTGCAAGCAAAGTGTTTCCGAGCATGGAACGTTCCAAGCTGTCGAGAATGTGGAGGTACGATGACACACAGTCTTTCTAGTCTTACGACCCGATCTATTTCTTAGACTCTCTAGACCGCCTCCGTGGTCTAGTGGTAGAGCGTCCGCCCGGAGAGCGGAAGGTCCGGGTTCGAACCTTCGGCCGCGTCATACCAAAAGACATTAAAAGATGGTACTTGTTGTTACCCTGTCTGGTGCTCGGCATTAAGGGGCTAAAACAAGGACTGGTCGGCCCGGAGTCAGTATACTGTGTCTGAGTGGGGTATTCATGTTAAACTGCGGCATGGTATCTCAGTGAGCTAGCACTATAAATCGGCATCAGTCCGGACTAGTACAAGCAGAAACACACACACGTACATGCACGTCGCTATATAAGTGCAATAATCTTGGACGCGACGTTTAACCCAATTTCACCTAACCTCTTAGACTCTCGTGCGTAATCTGACCAGGAGCCCTGATACACGATGTAAGAAGTAACACCCAATGTACCAGTATTACCGGGATCAGTTTTAGCTCACCTGGATCGAAGGTCAAGGTTATCTGATGGTATGCCTGATAATCGTTAGGCTACGTCACTGCGTCCGGACACCTCGCTCGATCAGGATATCTTACACCTCTATGAAATACCTTACCCTTTGAATATACCCTTCAGGATATCTCGCACCTCTCGAATAAGTGAGTGAGTTGTGTTTAACGCCGCTTTTAACAGTATTCCAGTTATATCGCGGCGTGTCAGCTTAATGTGGGAGGAAAGCCCGAAGTGATGCAGGTCTCAGACGTTTACCACTTCGGTGAAACCCACGACCACGGGTATGGTGCTGACAAACCTAGAAACATAATTGGGGCGAACCGGGATTCGAACCCACAATCATAGGTTCCTGGCGTGCCCAAGGGACGCAACACTTCACAACGAATCGCGGCGCCTTAGGCGACTGGGCCACCCGTGCCCCCTCCTTAGTATAAGCCGCACCCTTGTTAGGGTAGCATCCCACCTCTAGAATAGCTCGCACCTTTAGTATATCTCGCAGCCTTTGGATGTCTTGCACATTCTACCGCAGTCTGAGGAGTTATCGCCCCTGACAGATTTCTCACAACTCTGGGATCTTCTGGCATCCAAAGTTTATCTGGCACTATGAGGTTATCCAGCACCTGAGTATATCTTGCACCTCTAGAATATCAAGCATAGCTTGCACCAGTACGGCATGTCACACTTGAAGAATGAATGTAATGTATTAGTTCATGCATCTCCCAAGGCAAGGGAGTTAACTGACTATAAAAGTTCAGTCTCATCCCTTCCCAAACCAGGTTATTATATTTTGGCTTGACTAACGAGTCTATGCATAGAGCATGTGCATCGTTAACTGGGCGTCGACAGGTGTTTTCTAAACCTTTTCACATTTTTAAGCGCTCGCGGGATTTGATGTTGTACTTCTCGCGAGATCATACCAATTTTATTACAATAAAGATCCTGATCATAGATCAGATCGATGGCGCCGCCATTTTGTTTGAATTAAAAATACAAGTGATATGAGAGATGGAATCTTATTGGTCAATAGGGGGGACACAGAAGAGACAAAGAAGGGACATAATTCGTAATCGCCACTGGTGGCGCTAAGATCGAGCCACGAAATTCCAGCCTAGTACGGCAAGCGTGGAAGCTGGACTGTACACTGAAAGTGTGTTATTTCTAGTGTTTCCTCTCACGGTAGTAACACTTGTTCGGGTTGTCAACTGTCCCACTTTGTCTGTTTGTTTGTTTGTTTGTTTGTTTGTTTGTTTGTTTGTTTGCTGTTTAACGCCGCACTCAGCAATATTCCAGCTATATGACGGCGGTCTGTAAATAAACGAGTCTGGACCAGACAATCCAGTGATCGATGACAGGCATCAACCAAGTCAGCTGCCTGACCATCCGATCCCGTAAGTCGCCTCTTACGACAAGCTTAGTCGCCTTTTACGGCAAGCATGGGTTGCTGAAGACCTATTCTAACCCTGTTCTTCATGGGTCCTGTCACATGGTAGTCAACGTATCCAGCATGCTTGGAAGCACAGCGATGGTAGTGTGTTATTTCTAGTGTCTCCTGCCATGGTAGTCACACGTCTCGGGCAGTCAACTGTCCCACTTTGTCTGTTACAGGGTCGTGAACGTTTCCAGCATGCTTGGAAGCACAGCGTTGAATAAATGTGCAAAGGACATCAAGACAAGGATTACCGCCCCTGACATTACACTGGATGAACTGGAAAACTTGATGAAACAATTTGAAACGTATGTCCTCTTAGTGTATTGTTCATGTTCCAGACGGGAAAAAACATGTGCTGACAACGTAAGATAAAGGCCGTTCTTGATCACTTGAATTGGATAATTTGATAGCTACCCCAAACCTTAAACTATTGGTTTTACATTATCAAACATGTTCAACAGGCTGAACACAAGTCATTTCTTTCTTACACATTCAAGCTTTGGGCTTCAAAAGTGATAAGCCAGGATTTAGAACAGAAAGAACATCTACCCAGTTCGTGTCCCAAGAAGAATTTCTTATCACATGTTTTAATAGTCTTTATCTACATCTCCCAAGGTAACCTACATGGGTTCCTGAAAATCTCTAAACTCAGCTGTTTGGACACGTTTGAACCATTGATTCATATAATGGGCAAGGTCGGGATGCGATGACACGCAATCATCGAAATCACTGATGCTAATTACTCGACCCATTTAATTACCCGGTATGACAAGCCTACGTTGCTAGGCACCTTGAATCCCAAGTGCGCCTTCACTCAGTCGTCTTAAGGCGCCGCGATTCGCTGTGCAGATCTGCCACCCTTGGGCACGCCAGAAACCTATGATTGTGGGTTCGATTCCCGGTTTGCCCCGATTATGTTTCTAGGTTTGTTAGCACCATATCAGTGCTCGTGGGTTTCACCGAAGTGGTAAGAGTCTGAGACCTGCATCACTTCGGGCTTTTCTCCCACATTAAACTGACAAGCCGTGATATAACTGTAATACTGTTAAAAGCGGCGTTAAACCCAACTCACAGACTCACTCAGTGAGTATGGTTTTACGCCGTATTTAGAAATATTCCAGCAATATCACGGCGGGGGACATCTGAGCTTCCCTCATTGTACCCATAATGGGAATCGAACCCGGGCCTTCGGCGTGACGAGCGAACGCTGTAACCACGAGGCTACCCTCCACCCCTGCCTTCACTCGGAAAGACATAGATTCATGATCACGATAGATGAAACTTATCAGTGAAATACGTCCAATACAAGGAGACTGACCCGCGTCTTGGTGACGTTATGTTGTAGAGATGTTTCGTCAGGGACGTACAGCCAGGCGTGGCCAGAGACGGCGTACGGAGTGTCCAAAATAGGCATGACAACGATGTCGCTAATCCAGCAGAGGGTGTTGGACAGAGAAGGAAAGACAGACGTCGTTGTAAATGCGGTAAGTTCGCTTGGATGATGTTTTCATCTGTGACCGTGACCTTGTCTATGTTATTATGTTAGTCTATCTGAAACAACGTTTGTGTGTCTGTTACTACGTCTGTGCACCTGTTACTGTGTTGGTGTTTCTGTTACTATTTTGTAACTATACAGTATACAGTAAACTACGGTTATAACGAACACGCTTATAACGAACTGGCGGATATAACGAACCGGTTTTTAGGTCCCTGCTATTTGCTGTTTATATGCTGTATCTATGCTGATAACGAATTACGGTTATAACGAACTAGAATTTGTGGTCCCTTTGAGTTCGCTATAACCGTAGTTGACTGTATGTTACAATGTCGAAATACCTGTAACACTGCCAGTATATCTGCTACTGTGTCTGTGTAACTGTTATTATGTCGGTGCATCTGTTACCATGTTGATACATCTGTGAGTATGTCGGTGTACCATTTACTGCGACAGTGCATCTGTTACTATGTCTGTGTAACTGTTACTGTGTCTGAAGTTACCATGTTGATACATCTGTGAGTATGTCGGTGTACCATTTACTGTGACAGTGCATCTGTTACTATGTCGGTGTAACTGTTACTGTGTCTGTAGTTACCATGTTGATACATCTGTGAGTATGTCGGTGTACCATTTACTGTGACAGTGCATCTGTTACTATGTCGGTGTAACTGTAACTGTGTCTCTGGTTTCTATGTTGATACATCTGTGAGTATGTCGGTTCACTTTTACTACGAGAAGTGCATCTGTTACTATGTCGGTGTAACTGTAACTGTGTCTCTGGTTTCTATGTTGGTACATCTGTGAGTATGTCGGTTCACTTTTGCTGCAACAGGGCATCTGTTACTATGTCTGTGTAACTGTTTCTGTGTCTGTAGTTACTATGTTGATATAGCTGTGAGTATGCCGGTTCACTTTTGCCACGACAGTGCATCTGTTACTATGTCTGTGTAACTGGTACTGTGTCTGAAGTTACTATGTCTGTGTAACTGGTACTGTGTCTGAAGTTACTATGTTGGTACATCTGTGAGTATGTCGGTTCACTTTTACTCCGACAGTGCATCTGTTACTATGTCGTAATATCTCTAAAATTATCTGTCTGTTGTAGTGCTGCCCGGGATGGTGTAGAACAGATATGGGAGGCCAGAAAGCCATCAGCTCCGCGGAAGAAGGTTTGTCTAACATTTACTATAAAATAGTTCGTCTACTGACAACAATTGCTCAAGGTCAATGTACGACCTCGTCCGACGACGATAAACAAAGCCTCATGTAAATTCCGAGAAACAAATTACAACAAATACGGTATGGAGTATTTAAATTACTAAATATCAAACATTTTGCAAGAGTGTGGCCCCCTTGATCAAGAACATCACTCTGTTGTAGTTCTTACTCCGACTCCAGCCGCGTCATACCAAAAGACGTTAAAAGATGGTACTTGTTGTTCCCCTGTCTGGCGCTCGGCATAAAGGGACTAAAACAAGGACTGGTCGGCTCGGAGTCAGTATACTGTGTCTGAGTGGGGTATTTATGCAAAACTTCGGCATGTTATCTCAGTGAGCCAGCACTATATATCGGCATTAGTCCGGACCAGTACAAGCGCGCACGCACGCACGCACGCACACACGCACACACACACACACACACACACACACTTCTCACTGGCTGCAATCAGATTCTCACACTGGAAAAATGGTCTCACAACACTGACACCCATCACGTTGGTCTAGTGGCTGGAGCGACTGCACAGAGATTTTGTTTGTTTGTTGTTTACCGCCGCACTCTGGAATATTCCAGCTATATGACGACTGTCTGCAAATAATTGACAATCCCGTGACCGACACCATTCAAGGAATATGTCGCAATTACCTCATGGTGGAGTCACCTATGATTGTGGGTTCGAATCCCGGTTCGCCCCAATTATGTTTCTAGGTTTGTCTGCACCATACCCGTGCTCGTGGGTTTCACCGAAGTGGTAAACGTCCGAAAACTGCATCACTTCGGGCTTTCCTCCCACATTAAGCTGACACGCCACGATATAACTGTAATACTGTTACAAGCGGCGTTAAACCCAACTCACTCAATGTAGCTGTATAAAGGATAATTATGGAGTCGAGTCGATTTGCAAGATGCAGGTGAAGGGCTCTGATTACCCTACTCACAACACTAAATGTACCTTAGTGATTAGTTTTTGTGAAGTATTGTAACATGCAGTAGACTAAAACTACATCACGTTTTTTCCAGGTGCAGATACCATTGTCTATCTTGCAACACTTCCGCCGGAGGTGATGTCACCACGAGGACAACTTGTAACTCGCCGCAAAATCAAGCCATGGACCAAAGGAAGCGTTTTGTAAAGGCAGCATATCATGGGTTACACAACGTCATACGCTGACAAAAATGTCTCAATGTATGTGGGTATAAATCATGATATTGTGGTTGTCCAATTATTGGCAGGGATCAGTGAGATGGATGTACGTAAATGTAGGTCATACAGTTCATGTGCAGTGCAATAGTCACTTTGTAAAATGGCAGAAATTACAATTAATGTGTGAAGTGATCATATATATATCTTATTCCCCTGATACAGAATATAGAATGTGGACATTATGTAAAAAGATGAAATAGCAGGGTGTTTGACAAGTCAAGATCTACAATGTTTTTGTCCAAAGTTTTTATTTTTTATTTTACAAATAGACGTGCATTCCACATTGACTGTAACATATATATGTGTGTGTGTGTGTGTGTGTGTGTGTGTGAGAGAGAGAGAGAGAGAGAGAGAGACAGAGTTATGGATATATATATATATATATATATATGTATATATATTTATATAGTACTGCAAAATGTAACTGATTTATATGAAGTTCAATAAAAAGATATTCTCATATTAAATTATGCATCTTTCAATATATATTCATAACGACATCTCCACGACTAACAATATATTTTTTGGTCCTGTCCATTTGCTGTATATATTCCGTACATTTGCTTATTACGAACTACGGCTATAACGAATAAATATTAGTGGTCCCTTTGAGTTTGTTATAACCGTAGTTTACTGAAGTGTCAATGATATTCCAAGCTTTAATGTACGTTATGTAGTTAGATAGACCAATCATTGACATCATGAACATCGATCCACTCAATTGGAATAAGATGACATGCATCAACCAAGTCGGTGAGTCTGACCACCCGATCCCTTAAGTCGCCTCTTGCGACAAGCATAGTCGCCTTTTCTCGCAAGCATGGGTTGCTGAGGACCTATTCTACCCCGGATATTCACGGGTATCGCCTGTAACTGAGAGGTTCAGAGGTTTAGTACCACTTATATAAATCTATCACTGTTTTGGTCAGTAATATATTAGGGTCATTACCCAGTTAGAACAAGGACATTAGTTACTGGCTCAACTTCAAAACCTAGGTTTTATAACCACGTAAATATCCACAAACACACATACGACTCTGGTCAACACAATACAAATACAATTCAAACAATTTATTCCTAAAACTTAGTTTACTTTGATTCTCTTTTTCTCGGTTATGCTGTCAGGAATGTCTGGTCTTCCCCTGTTTATTTGTCCTAGTTTGAGCCTGACCTTTACTGCCGTTGTATCCACTTTCAGAACACAGACCCCATAGTCACTGCTGTCATGTGCTACTTTGGAATGCAAACTGTCAGCGTCCGCTCATGTCGTGACTGTGTGGACGTGCTTATTAGAGGGATGTGTGATACACTGTGAGGCGTGTGATTTAGAATGTACTTATATATGGAGCATCACGCTGTGTTGAGCCTAGTTTGAGCCTGACCTTTACTGCCGTTGTATCCACTTCCAGAACACGAACCCCAAAGGCCACTGCTGTCCTGTGCTACTTTGAAATGCAAACTGTCAGCGTCCGCTCATGGTGTGTCTGTGGGGCAGTGCTAAGAAGAGGGATGTGTGATAATCTGTTAAGTGTGATTTGGTTTTCTCCTGTTTTGTTTTGGTCCTAGTTTGAGCCTGACCTTTACTGCCGTTGTATCCACTTCCAGAACACAAACCTCATAGCAACTGCTGTCATGTGCTACTTTGAAATGCAAACTGTCAGCGTCCGCTCATATCGTGACTGTGTGGCCGTGCTTATTAGAGGGATGAGTGATACACTGTTAGGCGTGATTTAGAATGTACTTGTGTATGGAGTATGACGCTGTGATGCATGTGTTCACGCAGCTTGTGTGAAGCTGGTATATTACAGAAACAAACCTATGCAATTAGGAAAATGTTATGGGCGAAACGTACACTTGATACTACAACAGAATATATTGTCACGTCAATACACAGAAATTACATCTCCTTGAATCTGATATTGAAATATGTTTTAGTTACGTATCCACTGAAATGAAAAGAATGTTGTATAAAATTAATTCATTGTGATTTTTCAGGGGGCACGGGTGGCCTTGTCGTCTAAGGCGACGCAATTCACTGTGCATTGTATTTCTTTTCTTAAGGTGAGGTGAGGTGAAATGGGGTTTAACGTCGCGTCCAAGATTATTGCACTTATATAGCGACGTGCATGTACGTGTGTGTGTTTTGTGTGGCTGCTTGTACTAGTCCGGACTGATGCCGATTTATAGTGCTAGCTCACTGAGATACCATGTCGCAGTTTAACATGAATACCCCACTCAGACACAGTATACTGACTCCGAGCCGACCAGTCCTTGTTTTAGCCCCTTAATGCCGAGCGCCAGACAGGGTTACAACAAGTACCATCTTTTAACGTCTTTTGGTATGACGCGGCCGGGGATCGAACCCCGAACCTTCCGCTTTCCGGGCGGACGCTCTACCACGAGACCACGGAGGCGGTCTCTTTTCTTAAGGCCAGTGGCCCATCTACAAACGTAATAGAATATAAAAGGAATGAGAGATCAGGTTTGTACAGCAACTGTATCCTCGAAGGATGTTAAGGTACTGTAAAAGTATTATTCCCCTGACAGGTTACATAAGTTCCACATCTTTCCAGTAAATTCGGAACTATTACGTTATTATTTGTAGAATACCTGTTGCTTTAATATTACGCTAACTTTGCCAATAATCGCCAACTCCTGAAGTGATGGTGTAAATCCTGCTGGGGTCCATGCAGGTAGCAAAAGTACTGTAAGTCCCATTTGAACCTTAGTATGGTGATATTCCTTCAGTTGCTGGTGATCTATAGCCCGTTTTATCATGGTTTGTTATGTATAATATTATCTTTTCATGTTCACATACTGGTTTTTTCCTGTGATATATCTAGTTATTGTACTGCCCTTTGTTGGCAGGTTTTTATATTTTCTGAATGTATTTATTATGGCTTGCCTTTGATAGTCATGATATAGCTGAAATGTTGCCGGACCGCCTCCGTGGTCTAGTGGTAGAGCGTCCGCCCGGAGAGCGGAAGGTCCGGGGTTCGATCCCCGGACGCGTCATACCATAAGATGTTAAAAGGTGGTACTTGTTGTTACCCTGTCTGGAGCTCGGCATAAAGGGGCTCAAACAAGGACTGGTCGGCTCGGAGCCATTATTCTGTGTCTGAGTTGGGTATTTATGTTAAACTGCGGCATGGTAGAGGTATGAAGGACCAGTGAGTGTCTCCTCCAATCTCATTAAAATCGAATCTTAGTTCTCGCTATTGCTGAAGAAACATCTCATCATGAGGACATCCCATTACGGGTCACGTCAGAGCGATCTTTCAACTGACCAATCAAAGCGTCGCTTACCAGATGATGAAAGTGACATTCAGAATAGGTTTTCGAATGATGTAACTTCGAAAACGTTAACATTGGGTATTCCGAACGGCAGTCACGGCCCGTACGACTGATTCCGTCAAAATTATCGTCTATCTCTCGCTTCCGTGGGATAAACATTTTAACGTTGCGTTGCAAGTACGTGGGAAGCACTGCCATACAATCTCAATACACACCATATATTAGACATTCAGGAACGTTCGTTTGTTCATTTTTCAAAATTTTAATCGCGAGCCGTGTCAGCATATTTTTCAAGCATAGTCTGAAATGGGAGTCGCCAGGTTGAAACTTCTTGTTAGTCATTTCAGTGTTCGGTCAAAGTTCGCGAAAGGTCGTTCTGCACTGACCCGTAATGGGATGTCCTCAGATCTTTATTTAGCGACAGCGAACACTTAGATCTGATTTTAATGAGATTGGTGTCTCCTCTTTGTTGGTAATATTCATAAGTCACGTGACCCTTTACTTGCACACATCAGAAAAAAAACGATGATTGATGTAATACTATTGGGACTAGTTTTAGAAAAGCAACTTGATTATTTATCTTGAGACATTATAGTGAATCTAAAAAAGAAATTATGTATATACACACTGACAACAACGGTAATAGATAAGAAGCATACAGATGAAGCCATGTGTACAGTAACGTCCAATTTAATTAGGATCCATCAGCTTGTCACAACTGTATAATCCCTTTAATCTTCATCGTGACTGTATCTGGCATCACTACCCGTGTGTTCCATTACCTGTGTGTTATTTGTTATTCTTACTGTACATTTGGAAGGGAATGCATCACGTTTGGTTGCCACCTGGGGTGTTGGATGGCCTCAGCAACGTAAGTCTGTTGGCCCTGTGTTTTAAATATGTTTGTTTGTTGTTTAACGCCGCACTCAGCAATATTCCAGCTATATGACGGCAGTGTGTAGATAATCGAGTCTGGACCAGACAATCGAGTGACTGATATCATCAGTATCGATCCACGCATTTGGGATACGATGACATGCATCAACCAAGTCAGCGCGCCTGACCACCCGATTCCGTAAGTCGCCTCTTACGACAAGCATGGGTTGCTAAAGACCTATTCTACCCCGGATCTTCAAGGGTCTTTTAAACATGTGTAACGTCATTGTGTAATACCATTCTGTGTAAAGCATACTGTTTGATGCTGGTTAAACAATTGGTATTGCATCTTGATATATTCAATTCATATTTTGTCAACAAAACGATTTAGTTTATAAATATAATGGTGCTTTCACAAACACTTAGCTCATGCAGTAATGTCCCTAGATCACAAGCTGTCGATATTCGCAATGCAACATGCTGCTGCATTTTCAACACATTAACATTACTGATTAAACAGAAATTAGCCCCAAGGTCACATACTATTAACTGTAATTTAAGGTAATGTGTTAACAGAAAAGAGTATCAGATTTTATATCAATCCAAATAATGATATATTGTTCAGACAATCTGTAGAATGTAGACGTAGAGAATATGATATGAGTATCACTGACATAAATCACCCCGGCTGTTATACCGCCGCATCTAGCGACAACTTCTTTTCCAAACCTTCATATTTTACTGATATACATTTGATTTAATTGACCCCTATTTAAAGAACCATTTCTTGAATGAGAGAAAGAGGGAGAGGGAGAGAGAGAGAGAGGGAGGGGGGGGGGGGGGGGGGGGGGGGGGGGGGGGAGAGAGAGAGAGAGAGAGAGAGAGAGAGAGAGAGAGAGAGAGAGAGAGAAAGAGAGAAAATACAAAAGTCCAAAGATGAGCTGAATAATTTACTCAACCGGTTTATATATATATATATATATATATATATATATATATGTGTGTGTGTGTGTGTGTGTGTGTGTGTGTGTGTGTGTATGTGGTGGCATTTTATAATTTTCTTTAGTACATTGGTAAACAATGTCATCCTTCTCAGGTGATATCTCCACATGACCGCCACCCGTTACTGAGAGGTTCAGGGATTTAGTACCTATTATATAACTCGACCACTGTATTGTTCAGTAATATATTAGGGTTATTACCCAGATAGGACAAGGACATTAATTACGGCTCAACTTCAAAATCTAGGTTTTAAAACCATGTCACAATCCAGGTTTTGTAACAGTATATTTCAAAACCTAGGTTTTGACCTACACTC